GCAGTTGTTGATGTAGACGAAGGTTTGGATTAATTATTCATAATAACATTTAATCATTGACAATAAATGTACAGGGTATCCCAAAAGTCATGACTATTTAATAAGTATAAATAACTGTGTTGTTGGTGAAGCTTAATCGAAATATTTTTTTCTATTTCAAATAGAAGATTAATAAGTTTTAATTTGCCAGGATCAATTCCATCAACAGTATGAAAAATGTAACACTTTGACTAAAATTTATAAATTAGGGTTTTTACAATTTCACGAACAATGTGCACCGTCTTTTATAATATTTACTTGAATTTCTATCATTATTATGAATCTTAAATCATGCAGATCTTTAATTATTGTTTTTTTTTAATCATTTGTTTAAAATGTTTTAAAACGATCGAATCATTGGTACATTTCTTCATAGCAAATCATTCGTGACTCTTCGAAAACTTTAATGACCATGAAAACTAATGTGTTAAACTATTTTATAACTTATTTTAACATTAAGAGCGACTCTCTTGCTTTTCTTTTCGTAAGAACATAATCAAAAGAAGTGTTTAGAAAGTTACAAAAAAAAAAGATTAAAGTAATCTGAGGTCCATAATAACTAGTGTTTCGAATAGATATCAGAAAAGAAACGATATATATAATTGATAGCATTGAAAAAAGTCTGACTTTTAAACTGAAACCGACAATACTAAAGTCCTCTCCGCAATAGAAAGCCTTCTTGAAGAAACAATGCATCAGACGTAATAAAAGATTCACCCCGCTCATTTTTTGATTATTTAATGTTTCGAAAACATTGTAACTTTAATTAGTATATTTAGGTGAAAATATACTTAGTTTTCTGCTGAAAATCGTAAAAGGTTCATGTCAGTATTATTTCTGGACTTTTAAAGCCTACAATATATATTCACAAATCCTCAAAATTGCATTGGTTTTCTGATGAGCCCTTTTAATCAAAAATTATGGAGATAAATAGCACACAATAAAAAATCGGGGAGCTTCTACTGCGGGAGGAGGGGGAGGCGGTTACATTTTCTACAGTGTTGATGAACTTGATCTTTACGAATGAAAACTTACTAGTCTTCTATTACGATTGGAAAATGATTTTCATTAAGCTTGATCAATAGCTGAGTTATCTATATTTATTAAGTGGCCATACTTTTTTGGAACACCTTGTACGACTATTTTTTTTTTTGAAAAGAATTTGCATTTGTCAAAATCACTTTTAATAGTACTTAAAAGGTAACATATTCTTCCAATAGTTTAATATTTGAATCAACAACGAGATCATAAATGAACAAATCCCATGATTTCTGAATTTCGAAAAAGAAAGAAAGAAATTTTATTCTCTCTCTTTCTACAATATCTAAATGAATTACAGATGTGTATTCTTATTAATTAAGATTCTCAGTTTGTTGTCATTCAAGTTTGGATCATAGTGAGAATTGTATTTATAGAAGGAGAATGAGAAGACAAGAAGAAAAGAAAAATAAAACACAATATACACATTGAATGTATGTTGTGGGACGACTAATCACAGATTAGTAACCTATAGAGTGAATGATTGCGAGAGCGAAAGACAAGATGCAAAATAAACATTTCTATTGTATTTTATATATCTTTTTATTCTTCTAGACATTATTGAAAGTCTTTGTTACCCATTACCTGAACATCCTCATCGTCAACATGTATTTAGTTTAACCACTCATACTGGTGATACATATTGTTTTCAGGTTTGTTTTAATGTTATTGCTTGTTTTGTTTTGTTTTTTTCATTGAAAAAATTTCATTATTAGTCATCTAATCAATCTGAATTAGATCATTGGATTCGTACTATACATTATCATTGTTCATTAAAAACAAATGAAAATTTATTAAAAATAACAATAAAAGAATTAGAAGAAAATATTGAACGTGAAAATAAAATGCGTAAATTAGGTGAATTACAATTAAATTCATCAACAAGTCAAAAAGTTCGTTTACTTATATCAAAACAAATTGATTTATGGGAAAAAAATTTAGAAGCATTTCATATTGATTTATTTCGTAATAAATGTTATTTATGTGCATTAACAAATGATCGAGATTTACCAAATCCAAAAGATTTACTTTCACAAGCATGTCCAACAACAAAAGCAACATTACATAAACTTGCTGCATTTGCACCATGCAGTTTTTACGCATGTATTGCTGCACGACGACGATTAGATCGTCATAGATCAAAATATAAATTTTCTAATACAAGTATGAAAGATAGTCAACAAAAAGAACAACAAACAACATGTTATTTAACTACACCAACAAATTCTATAGATCCTATTGAATCACCAACAGTATCTGATCTAACTATTTTACAAATGGTTACATGTGATTCCAATCCTGAAATGGTTAGTTTAATAAAAGATATTATATTAGGTTTTCTTTTGAGAATAATCGTTTCGGTCATGCATTATTAAAACAATGATCGAAATGATTCTTCAAGGTCTAATTGAGATAATGGATAAAAAAAATAAGTTTTAAAACACATCAAAGCTCTTTTGAGATATTCACATGGTAAAAATGATGTACTAATAAGTTCTTTTTTGCTGAATAGAACAACGTCCGGAATAGGGATATGCGGATTGAAACTACGAGAAAGAAATTTATCGGAACTGGTGTACTGCGAGGAAAACGTTACCCCAATCGGAACTAACGATTATAGTCAAATATTCTATTATTTTAAGCGAATTATTTTATAAGTCATGTCAACATAATTCAAGAGAAATGACTCAAAAAAGCACTAGTCGTCGACTAAATAAATCAAAAAATAAGTATTGAAAAGTGGTTTTTAGATAGGACACAAATAAGTTTTAAAATGATGTTCTTTAAACAGGAACCGGGACTAGATTAAATTTACCGAGGTCATAATCGGGACCACTGCGAAAGAAGTCATCGGAACCGAAATAAAAGAACTTGCTCCCGTACATCTCTAGTTCAGAAAAATTTTGTTTTTCTAGTTAATTTTGAGCGAGAAAATCTGCTACTACTTTTATGTCTTTCATACGATATGCGAAGACCGAATTTTACAATATATTGCACAAAAAAAGTCGATTTTTCTTTAAGGTCCTCTGTAGAAAAAGCCAATTTTAGTCAAAAACATAAAAATTAAGATAAATGTATAGGAAGATAACCCCAAGCTTAATCTTTCATAAATGACATGATTTCTCATTCAACACCCCTTTTTTTGCCAAATCTTTGATGATATCTGTCGTCACTTGCTTGAAAAACAAGCTATTTTCAGAAAAATAGCAGGAAAGGTTTTTGTTTTTCTCTGTCTGTACTTTTTTTTGATCACGCAACCTAGAATTTTCTGTGGACCCGCATTCTATACATTTCCTTTTTTTTTGTTTCGAAGAGCATGTCAAAGTACAATGTACTAGAGAGTCCTTTTTCTTTAATAAAGCTTTATTTTTATTAGGTATACAAACATCTTTATAAATAAACACCCACTTTTAGAGATTTTTGAGTCATTGAACTTGTCATACCTTTTCTCCGCTTGAAAAGTAAGAATTTAAATAAAAGGATTTTGTAATACACTGCATCGTGACATGCTCTTTCAAACAAAAAATATTAAGTATGTAGAATGAGTTTGGACAGAGAAGTTCGGTTTGTCAAATGAGTTGTTTTCATCCTTGTTTAGTAATTATCTCTGTCAAACGTGATGTTATAGAAGTGAAAATTCTACCATAGTTTGTTCACTATAGCTTCAAAATATTTTCCAAATTTCAGGGGACTTGAATGTATCTGAGAGGAAACCGATTTTGGATGGCTGAGAAGCCTCAATCAATTCATATTTTTTTTTTTATTGAAGAGAACAATTGTATCAATTAGTGAAATGGGGACTGTTGGTGAATTATTACAGCGTGTAATTGATAAATTAGGACTACAAATCGATGATCATTTTCTATATTTTCATTCAACAACCTCGCATGGATTTGTACCAAATCGAAATGATAAACTCAATAGTCTTGTATGTTAAATTCTAATGAAAAACAAAATTATTATTTATTTATTTGTTTGTTTTGTTTCTTTCTAGACTTATTCATCAATTGAAATACGACGCAAAATCGTATATCAAATAACATTAAATAATCAACTCGATCTGTCTGGCATTGAAATTATTACTGAATTATATCGCGAATATTCATTACAAGTTATTGTATCCAATGTCAAAAAAGGAAGTGAAAGCGAACGATTAGGTAAGAATAGGAAAAAACAATTCAAAGTAAACATTTCGTTAAAATTTAATCAAATATTTTTCTTTTCTAGGAGTTAAAGAAGGTGATGAAATAGTTATTGTAAATAATTCAATTGTACAAGATCTTAGTCTTGATACACTAGATCATTATTTTAATCGAATCCCAATTATGTTAACACTTCGTTCATCAAGGTTAGTTTAAAATGAAAAGATGTATCATATTTGAGATTTTTTTTTTTAATTAACTTAAAGGTTAATTGAATCAACTAATGATCCAAGTCGTAAATTTGATTTTTCACATACAATTATTCAAAATTTAATATGTCCACCACCACCACCACGTATTGAAAGATTATCAAGACAAGAACTTCGTGAACTTATTGTCCCCAAACCTGATTCAGCTTATCCAAATGAAATCACATTATCTGTTAATAACGATACAAAAGAAAATGAACAAATACCATCATCATCATCGGCAGCAGCACTTGAACGTTTATTAAAAAATGTTGATGAAATAAGTCGATATTGTCGACCAACAACTACTATATTAAATACAAATACAGAACAGATAAATATCATAAATCCAGTACCACGTATTAAAGCTCTTTCAAATGCACAACGATTACGAAAAGTTATTTTTGAATTAGTCGAAACAGAAAGATCTTATGTACAGGTAAATATTAAGAGAGAATCATTTTAAAGTTACGAAAAAATTAAAATTGATATAATTTGATTGAAATTAGCAGTTTTGAGATATGAATCAAAAGAATTATGTTCGTCAAATAATTATGATTGATTGAGTAGTTTTCTTTTGTTCGAGCACAAAAATATATTCTATTGAACTTCTTTTGAGAAAGAAAATACCTAATTTGATCCTTGATGATGTAACATAGTGATTTTGACATAGAAAATGAGTTTCTATTAAGGACGTTCGTGTTGGAAGTGACAACAAAAAGGCTTCTTATGAAACATTATTATTAATGAGGATTAAGTTGTAAAGTAAATCTTCTCTTCCATTCAGAGGTCATGATGAGTTCAACGATTGTGAAGAAAAAAATATACGCATAATAATATATTGTAAATCTTTGTAAATATGTTAAATGAATTTCTCTTTCAGAAAAAAATGGTTTATCAAATAATTGTTTAAATATACAGTCAAAACTATTCATTTATCTTTCGAATATACTGAAGCATAGTATCATGAACATATTTATATCAACATAACTCTGACCGAGAATTTTCAATCATAGATGATTTTCTATGCACAAGACATCTGGAAAGTGACTCGTCAAAAAGAAAACTATACATCTTCTCTGTGGTTAAACCGAATCAAGTGGCTATTTTTTTCTAATAATAGAAGAGACTTACAAGTTTTTATTTATTTCATAAATATTCTTGAAAACTATAACTTTCGAATCTAATACTTATATACATAAATCCCTTTTTTCGCGTTTCAAGTAACAAGAGCCAAAGTTTTCAACTGGATTGTTTTGATTTTTTTTGTCGTTCTGAACTTTGCGCCATACAGATGTATTCTGCTCTTAATAAATATATGTATGATACTTTTGAAAAATCGTAAGTAATTAGTTTCGTGCTCATTAAAATGTTTAATAAGAAGTTCACTAATAAAACTAACACGATTTTAAGATTTTCACAGTCATCAAATTCGAAACTAATATTCCTAGATTTTCGAAAAAAAAAACATGCCACGTAAATATTTAAAAAGTCAGAAAAGAACATCTGAATCACTAGCTTCAAAATAATAAAAATAAATTGAATTAACTGAGAAAAAAATCTTGTCTCTTGTTTTTCGGAACTCGAAAGAAGATTTTGTTTATGTATTGGGTTCGAAAGTCATAATTATCAGGGATGTTCATAGAAAAAATAAAAGCTTGCAAGTCTATTCTATTACCGGAGAAAAAGCCTACTTGATTTAGTTTAATCACCATGAAGATACAATCTTCTTTTCAATAAGTGACTCTCCGAATGTCCTATATATCCATTGCTGAAAAAGAACTTTACTATTTTTGATAGACCAATCTTTAAAAAAAGTGTTTTATCTTTCAGGATATGCAACGCTTACTCGAACGATATATTGAACCATTACGTGATGATTCAAAACTGTTACCTGCTGATGCAATTGAATCATTATATGTTAGTGTTAAATCAATTCATCAATTACAACAAACATTTCTTAAGCGTCTTGAATCAAATATTCCAACGGAAATACTTGCTTATAATGCTACTCATGAATTTCGTGTACGATTTATTTATTTATTATTATATAAAATAAATTCGATTATTTTTCTAGGATATTCTTATATCAATAGCTGATACATTTCTTTCATATTCTCAATATTTTAAATTATATTCAACATTTTGTGCTATGCATTTGAGAATGAATCGTTTACTTGATATTCATCAAAATAATCAACATTTAAAAGAATTTCTTGCTGCACGTAATCCACGTCATCAACATTCATTATCATTTGAATCTTATTTAATAAAACCAGTTCAACGTATACTTAAATATCCATTACTTATACAACAAATGTTAAATTATTTAAATTCAAATGAAAATAATTCTAATGAACAATTATTATCTACAGAAACATTGAAATTGAAACAAGCTATTACAATGATGAATAATATTGGTGAATATATGAATGGTATGCAACAACTTTATGAAGAATTCGGACAATCATTTGAATATATAACTAAAACTTATAGTGAAGAACATAATAAAGTATTGAATTATTTTTGTTTTTCTAAAGAAGAAACCTTCTCAATTTGAAAATCACTTTTGAGTTCAGACTCTATGCATAAATTAGATTCCAATGAAGGATTAAAAGCTCTAAAATGATAAGGGCATCTAGATCTTTCCTACAGAGTTACAGCCGTTTTACTGAAATCTTAGCCTATAGATAGGTCTACTTGTAACTTAGATGTTTTGAAAAATTTAGCTTAAAAGAATATTTTCTTCACGAGATATTGAATTTGCAAAAAATATGTAATTGTCGCATGTTTTGTGGAATATGAGTCATTTCTAAGAATTCAATACATCGTGAAGAAAATATTCTTTTAACTGAAATAACATTATTCATTTATTTTGTGCATGCAGTGCTACAGACAAAAATTTCATTAAACGACTATAACTCTATAGGGAGGGCCTAACTTATGTACAGAGTTCGAAATGAAAAGCGTTTTTCAAGTTGGAAAGACTTGCTCGTTAGTAACTTTTTTTTTTTTCATGTTCTTATTTCTTTTTATTAAGACATTACAATTAAATTTGCCTGATCTATATGCTTATGGAGAAATTGATTGGATTAATATGCATTTATTTCTTCTTGGAAAAAATCATCAACGCTTAAAAACATACTGTTTTGTTTTTCGTAATGGATGTCTTTTAATAGTACGTGAACAATCAAATAAGAAAAAACAAGTAAATTTTTAATTAATTAATTAATTAGTTTGATTACAAATAAGAAAAAAACAATATTTTTTTTCTTTAGGATTTATTATCAATCTATAAAGGAAATAAAATAATATCTGATCGATTTATTCGATTTATTCCAATGGAAGATATTAATGTTGAGTTAATAGAAAATGATGATACTAAAGATAATAATATTTCTATGTGGCAATTAACTCAAACAGATTCAAAAACTCGTTTAAAAACATATTTTCGATTTGCCAATAAGTAAAAATTGAATATTTTTTTTTTTCTTAAATTTTATTTTTTTATGAAAACGAAAATTTTTCTATTTTATAGAGATGCTCAAACATTTGTTAAGACAATTAATAATTGTATTTCTTCAATAGCAACAACAGTCGAGTGGCGACAAAATGCATATGATCGTACAATAACAAGTATACGTAATTCTGAACCATCATATTTAACAAAAAAGACTTCTTCTTCTTCGCAACGTTTATCATCAAGTCGTTCATGTAATGTTTTATTAACATCGAATTCAAGATCATTAAATCAAAAGTCTGATAATAATCGACAAAGTCCATCACCTATTTGGAAACGACGTACAACACCTATTCGAAGACAACCGTTATCAATGAATATTCGACAAAAAACACTAAGAAATTCGACTGATTGTTAATAGTTGTTTTATTTTCATTTTTCTTTTTCATGTGTTATTTTTCTATATAGTATATTTATGCTGTCGTGTTTTTTTTTTCGATCATCTTGGTGCTTTGTATAAATGATTTATGTAGGAGACACAAATGATATTAGATTTTTATTACAGATTGGATAAATTTGATTCTGATGTTGATGAAGATTGAGATGAATATATAGTTTTAGAAGATTGTATTTTTAATGATGATGTTTTTTGTTTAAGATTTTCCATATCGCTTGAAATTTTCCAATTAATAATATTATCCGTAGACGGAATGAGTGATGATTCATTTTCCAATAGATTTGTTTCAATGGTTGTAATGTTCGATGTTTTTCTTGATAAACAAGAGATTTTTACGGGTGTTATAAAAAAAAGGGTACAAAACGTAATGAATGTTTTTCGTTTAGAACAAGAAACTAGGATGATTCTTTCTTACAGATGTAAATCAAACCAATATTCTACGAAGAAAAAAAATGCTACTATGGAATATGATTTATACTGATTAAATCTATCTACGCTCTATACATATTAATTTTGTTTCATCCTCACAGTTGTCAGATTTTCGGAAAAGAAAAGAAAATTTCCAGCGTGTGGATTTTTCCAACTTTCAAGATTTTCTTGGATTTTAATTTTCCAGTGCTTGCCTAATATGTATAATCATTCATCATTACCGAATGTAGACTGCGTGTGTGCTTGATTTGTCTTTTTTCATTTCACTTTTATTGTGAATATACCTGTTAGTCGATGATTTTCGGCATTGCAGAATATGATGCTTCAAAAAAGAATTATTTATCGTTGTTGCTTCTACCACAGATCTAATTTTTCACATCAACTCGTTTATTTTGTGATTCTCAAACGCACAAGAAACTTTGAGAGAAGCATTCTATTAAGAAGACCTATAATATGATGCCTTTTAACAGAAGACTTACCGGAATTTTAATATTTTCTCTTTAAATTTCACTGCCGATATCTATTTGAAACGAAGTTCTTTGACATCTTACTAAAAAGTATTGCAAATATTTTTCTCTTAAAGGTCATTGGAAAGGGTATTCCACACAAAAATCTTTCTAGTACACAGCATTTAATAATTAATTCTTAGAAGGCCTTTTCACAGCGATTACCAGAAGGCAAAAATGCCATTTAAAACTTCGATAACAATTGTTTTTTCTTGCTTGTTCATAACATGCAAAAAAAAATTACATTTTCGAATCATTGCTGTAGATCCTCCTTCTATAGTGACTCATCTACTCGCGCCAAAAACCATATTGACGAACTTGTCTTATTGTAAAACTAACTCTGAATTTTTCGAAAGAATGTATTCAAAACTAAATTACTTCTCAGTTTTGTTTATACCGACTTGGCTACATAATATTATGCTCGTAGGAAAATATATAAGACATTTCTTTCGATTTGAAATAAAAGAACTTTGATTATTTTTAATATTTGAAATATGAATATACGAGTTTTAATTTTTTTATCTAACAAATCTTATCGACATTTATTATTCTTTCACTGTTAATAAACTAATATGTGATGGCAGAAGAATAAGTTTGTTTTGTATTGTGTCACAAAATGTTTCGTCAAACTGTACACGGATTTATCGCATCGGAAATTCGAACTCTCGAGAGGTTGCACATGAGTATTTTTATTTTCATTAGTAAAAATTGTAACTTACTTTGCATTTTGAATAGTTGATGTAATCGATGGAGGTGTTTTTGAAAACTTTGAATTATTTTTTATAGAATAAATGCATTTTTTTTCAGTTATTTGAGGTTTATTTATATTAGATGATGATTCTTTTGAATGTTTTTCTTGTAATTTAATTGATTTATAAGATAATCGATTTCGATTATTATTATAGACTAAAAGTGATGAATTAACAGGTTTATTAATAGTTTTGAAATTTTCATTAGATGAAAATTGAAAATTTGTTTTTTTCGTTTTAATTCGTATTGAGTCTGGATAACGTTGTAATTGTTGTTTAATTTTACAATGTTTATCAAAAAATGATTTTTGTTCATAACGATTAAGAAAAGCCTTAGCATTAATTAATTTTTGACTAAATTTTAAATTTTCTTTTTGAATATGCTCATATAGAATTTTTCGTTTATCTTGTCGATATTGTAAATTGATTTGACGTTGAAATAAATAATTATTATTATAATAACATAAGGAATGATTCTTTTTATACAATTTTTCTTTTGATATATTCATTAAATTAGTTTTATTTATTTGAAGAGTTTTTAAAAATTTTTGATATTCATGTTCATGAATTTTTTGATATTCTAATGATGAATATTTTGTAGCAAGTGAACTACAAATATGAAATGGCATTATATATTATTAAATGAAGAATTAGTAAATTGAGATATATATTTTGGCGCCGCTAAAATAAACTATTTTATTTACTAGCGACATAGACAAATTGATTTTTTTTTCTTATATGAAAAGAGGACAGTGTCGAGCAACTAATAGTTAAATGTCGATACAGTGAAACGAATATTTTTTAAAAAAAATAAAACTTTACTTGTCGTCCATTTCAATCTTCATTGATTATACAATGTCGCGAGCAGCTGGAACTTTACAAACAACTTACAATGCTAGTATGTTTTTTTTATAATAGACAAAAAATAAGATTATATGACATTTTGATTGCTCTATTAGCTTATTATCCACCTTCACTTATGCCAGGCTATAAAGGTAATTTTTTATACACTAAAAAGAAAAACTAGCATAAGGAACTTTTTTGTTCATTGAGGTCATGTTCCGACTACACAATTTCAATACGGTGAAACATTTGGTAATGCAACAGCAAAATATTTTCAAGATTATCGAAGTGAAGCATTGAATTCATCACAAAGTCTTTATGCAAGAGGTTAAATTTTTCAAGAATTTTTTTAATTAGAGATGTGCAGTTTCAGTAAACTGTTCATCGAAAATTCACACTGATATTCATTGACACACATTGACTACAATGGATCGATGTTCATTGATTTACCTGACATATCCATACTGTATGTATGTGTCAATGTTTCAGTGAACACTGATTCATTGTATAGTCAGTGTGTTCGTATTTCTGTTTTGCCACTTAAATTACATATTCCTATTTTTAAGTGTTTTTCCTATCTTAGGTGGTTATTTTCCAACTCCATATACTCATCAACCAGAACTTGTTATGAGTGATCGTCGTCGTAGTCGTGATCAATATCTTTATATACCAAAGTATGCACTTAACAATACAAATGTTGATCGAACCAATGAAATACGAAAATTTCATCAAGTTAATTACTTATTATTTTGTTTTAAAAAACAACATTAGCTTTATTTATTTTAGCTTTCTCAAGAACATCGAGATACATATATAGATCGTAGTGGCACATTACATCCTGTTGAACATTTTACTTTACCTGTACCAAATGAAAGAATGTATGAAGCAAATTTACCATAGTAAGTGATAATTTTATTATAATTGAAACCTTGTTTCTTTTTTTCTGTTTTTTGTTATGTCTAGTTCTTCAATGTTGCTTCGCCATACATCTGATATTAATATACCAGTCGATCGAAATTTTCCACCAGTTAAAGATGTAGCTAAACAATCAGAATTTCAATTATTTCCTTCAACAGGATCAAATCCAAGTCATAATGCATCCCAACAACAACAAAATTTTATAAATGCATCACCAACTGTTGATTATCTTTGTTGATGATGATTTGTATGGAAAATAAAAAAAAAAAAACAATTGAACAGAACTCTTTTTTGCTTGAATTTATTTTTCTTATTTTGAATTTTAATCAAACAAACAGACTATCATATTTTTATTATTAATCAGTAATTTATTTAACTAACAAAAAATAAACACAGAAAGAAAAAATCAATTTATGTGTGAAGGACGAAGGTTAATAACTATGAAATAACCTTGTAAAAAAAATCATACGATTACAATATAGGACAGAATGAAAAAAAAAGATAGTTAGCATACTGCTATTAATAAATCAATAAGTATGAGTAGTTGTAAGTTAAAATACTTCATCATGGACGATGTTATTTTCCTCTAATTTATTCGTTTTCAATAAACTTATTTTAGAATTTTATGTCTATGTCCTTGTCAATAATACTAAAAGCCGAATTTGATGAAATAGTACTCATTGTTGATGGAGAACTTGTCATAAATTCTCGTATAATAATCAATCGTTCTTTAGGTTTTTTTATTTGAGAAGGAGGATGAGTTGATTTCTCATCTTCTTTCTCTGAGTTTGCTTCTTCTTTCATTGGACTAAAGTTACTTGACGACGATGAAGTCTGAATGTTTTCTTTAATAAGTGAAGGAGAACAGTCAGATAATGTTCTAAAGCTTGCAGTTAATGTAGAATCTTCACTATTTGATTTCAAATACTGATTAACAAGATAAACAGAAGGTAATTCTTGTGGTTGGTAATTATATTGAAAATTAATATTACGAGCTTCATTAACTAATTGTTCAGGAATATCGTTTTCTTTGGGCTTAGACGAATGCAACGTTACTTTTTGATATTCAACAGTTACATCACTTGTTGTAGTACTTGATGAATCATTTGATATGATATTATTTGATTGAACGAATGCTTCATTTTGAGTTCGATTGTTATGAGTTTTGCTTGATCTTCTTGGTGATATACTTCTACTAACTTTTATAGCTGTTGGATTTACTGTGGTTACTGTTTTTGATGCTACAGTTGTGGCTCGTTGCGCAGGATAATAACTATCTTTAGGCCGCCGTTTTCTTCTTCGTGAACGATCATGTCCCGAAGAATAACGATTGTCAGTGACATATTCATCTGAAATAAGAATAGCGCCAGGTGGAAGTGGCGGTGTCTTTCGTAACCATGGACGCATCAAAATCGGTGCTTCATTTTGAAAATATTGCTGTTGTTGTATTGTCTGATCAGGTACATACTGTGGTACTGTTGGATAGCGAAGCAATGGTGTAATTCGTCCACTGGCAGGTCGCACATATGAATTAGAAATAGATGTTGGTACATGATGACAAGCAGCACAATGTTGTACCCAACAATGACCAGTGACTGATATGTTAAGTGAAGGTGGTACTGGTGGACACGCACGGCACATGCTTGGATAGTTGCTATTAAAATATTGAGGAAATGATGAAACTACATTAGTGTCTGGCAATGGTAGCTGTGATGATGGTGGTGATAACATGCATTGGTTCATCGGCATGCTGGAAGGAGGAGGAAGGTATAATTGCGGAGCAGGTGGTAATGATGGAAAAGCTGGCATCAGATTAGGAATGCAGGGTTGTGGTGCAGGTGGAAGATATGGAAAAGTTGGCATTAGAGGAGGAATGTAGGATTGTGCAGCAGTTGAAAATGGCTCAAAGGCTGATATAGGTACCATAGGTTGTGCTTGAGAAAATTGTGGATAAATGGGCATCATCAGTTGAGACATTTGCCAGCTAGGAGTACAAGGTAATACAGCAACAGGATTGCTGTAGCGTTGTATGACCATTTGTTGAACTGCAGGTGTAAGAGGCAATGATCCTAGTTGTGGTAATGGTGGTGGTAGTGGAAATGCGTGTAAAGGTTGTGCTATACGATTGTAAAGAAAAGGTGGTGTCGTCTAAAATATATAAAAATTTAGTTTTAGTATTTTTTTTTAAACTGATTAAATAAATTACTCACTAATGGGCCTATCCATGGTTGTTGTAAAGATGATTGACCTGTTGGTATGAAAATGACTCTGATTTTTGGTGGCAAATTCATACCACCAGGGTAGCCTATATTCGGAGAAAAACCAAGACCTGAATTTCCAAGAGGTTCATACTGTCCCGTATTAGGATTCAAAAAGACTGGTACTGGTACATATTTTGTCTCTTTTTCAAATTCATATACGTTGCCACCATAACTATTCCATGGTAATGATGTTGCATAGTTATTGTTTTGTAGTCTCCCATATTGCCTTTGTATTTTTTCTAACCTACGTAAATATTGTTCATATCGAACTTGATCATCTAATCTATATAAAAATGTTGCAAGTTGTCTACCAAAACCAGATCGTCGATCTTGATAGAAACCAGGTGTTGTATATCTTTCATTAGGATAGAAAGGTGGCTGATAAAATCGCGGAGTTGGAAAGTGTGGTGAAAAAGATGTTCCGTACCTTGGATATCTATCATTATAATATCGATTATGAGCCCGATTAGGTGGACTAAATTGAAATGAAGGAAGTCCTCCGTAACCGCGTGGTTGTAGTGTTGTCATTTCTAGTTGATTTTTATTTTATTATTTAATACACTTATTTCATAATACATAGAGTGTGAACAAACAAATCAAAACAATCTATAATAATCAAACATTATTGCTGACACATAACTATGTTAATAAGCTGATTTGATACTAATCGCTACATGAAGCATACTTATTTATTGTTGTATAAATATATCACTGGCCTTAAGAAGAAATTTTAAATTGATATGTGAGTTGTATACAACATTCATGAACAAAACAGTATCATAGCACTATATTACCTACCTTCTTTTCTTTCTCTCTTTGCTTTCAACCTTTCAAGAATATTTGAAATATAGATATGATTAAATATTCGAGTAAAATGCACGAAAACCACATCCGACAAATCATCAATGATAGCAACGCAAGGACAAAATAACACATCAGCCTACCAAAAACGTATATAAAAATAAACGAATAATCAATCGTGACGAGACATTTATACTTTTCATGGTAAAAACTACATTAGTGAAAAAATGAAAGAAAATAAAACAAACCAAATGAAATATATAACATACCTCAATCAATAAATAGAAACGATCAAGCAAGCGTGACTATTACTGTTTTTCTGTCATGAAACGTGACACATTTGCGAAAGAAAAAGATTCTATTCAGTGTTTACTAAAAATTGTGAGTTTTGATATTATATTTAATCTATCATGATCTCGACATTACTTATTGATTATATTTATTAAGCTTTGCTATTTATAAAAGATAATCCAAACAAGGTTACAAGTTATAATCAGCTGAAGAATGTCATTGAAATGATAGATCAAAAGAATAAATGTGTTGAGTCCAAAAGATTGACAATAAATGAACAAGAGAAGGATTTATCTATTTTACATCATCTATCAGCTTTTGACGTGCTTTGAAAAAAACAAGGAAAAAAAATAAAGAAAACTCGACAGCATACATGTTTGCAAACGTATATGTAAACTTTAAGCCAGCTCGACCTTTGCTATTGTTGAACATACTTTGTGGTATTAGAAAGCATAGTGAACAAAGAGAATTATCGCAATGATATGTGGAACTTTTACATTGTACATATAATACCTAACATGATCTTTTCAATGTCATCTTCTAGTAAATCTTGCCTCGTAAATTCTTTTCTTTATTCTTATGTGACAATTGAACAAAACATAAATGACTTTTACTAGTTCAATTCGTAATCTGTACAACATACTATCATTTCGAGAGTTGACAGACGAAAAAGAAGAAGAAGGCGAGAAGAAAAAAGGATAGGTGATCTTTTTCTTTCTTCTATACTCATTGTTCTTTCTTTTCCTCTTTTGTCTCTTGTCAATTCTTCTTCTCTACTATATATATATACACGCCGGACATTGGAGCTCCTTCGCCTCTCTTCACAATTAAGATCGAGTGTAAAACAAACAATCACATATACACACAAAGCAGAGGGAATATACGAAAACGAAGAAGACAAAGAGAAAGACAGAGAGGGACACGAAGTATGCGCATGTAAAGAGGGAAATTCGAGCAATTGAATCCGCACACAAAATAACTTGATTAGGCCGCTGTCGCCGGTCGTCGTCATCATCATCATCATTTTCTTTTTTTTTTTTTGTATTGATTAATTGAATACTTTCGTACAATGTTGAAATGGTGGTATTATTCTTCCTATACCATCCTTATATACCTAATTACAGGTAGATTTTTTTTCATTTTCTTGTTGTTTTTATGGAAAAATTCTTTTTTTATTTTAAAAAGATTTACTAAATGCTCAACATCATTCAGTTTATATTCCAAATTATCTTCAAGCACTTGACTATCCAAATGGAGATGAAACGCCATCACCACATCAACAACAAGAACAATCTGATGATCGATTTAATGATGGTTTTGATTCATTTCAGTTTGATTTTTTTCAAACAACAACACCATCAATTCAGTTTCTATTCGATACATCAACAGTTCATGTTGATATAACCACTGATGATTCAACAACAAATTTAACATCAACAATATCAAATTCTTCAGATTCAACGATTACAACAGAAATTATATCCACAATATTAAATTCAACATTAATAACAACTGAACAGATGACATCAATACAAAACAGTACTTATTCATATCTATCAACTGATACTATTCTATTCAATAATGAAACTTCATCTTCGAATGAAATAATTCTATCTTCTACTGATAACAATACATTCTTATCAACATTGAATTATTCCACAGACAATGAATCAATATCAACACACGAACAAATTAATGAAACAGTAGAAAATATTTTTAACAATACTTCTACGATAGGAACATTTGTAAAAAATAATAGTGATCTAATTATGAATTTACTAAATCGAACTTATTTCCAAGGTAAAAATTTAGTTAATCATAAACAATATGATATTTATAATACAACACCTGAAGAAGCAGCACAACATTTAACAGATAGAAAAACTATGCAATCACTTATTCATTTACTTCCACTTAATTTATGGTCACAATTACAAAATAATTTTTCAGCTATTAATTTTAATCAAAGTCAATATATACAACCATCTTTACCTGATCCTGTTATACTTGCCGAAGCAGCAGCACAAGCTGGTTTACCTGGACCAGGACCATATCCAATACCTGATCATCTTTGGCATCAAAATCCAAATAATTATCGAAATCCTTCACAAATTATAAATAATATGCCAATGAAAAAGTCAACAACAACTTGTAAATTAATTTTCTTTTAAATAAATAATTTTGGTTTTTCTATACTAACTTTTCTTATGTTTAGCTTCAACAACAAAATCAACAACAAAACTATTACGAGTATTGCCATCAAATGTATTTTTTAAATTACCAAATACACAAGCACCTTATCTAACAAAACCAATAGCAACAAAAACTAGTACTAATTTTCGACTAATTCATAAATTGAATGAAATTCGATCGGGATCGTTTATACCTAATAAACATTTATCAGTATCACCACCACCATCGCCGTTACCAAATGCTAATATTCAATCATTACTTGCACAAATTGGTTTTACTTGTCCAGCAGGTGTAACTGGTATTCGTTTTCCCGATCAACGATTATGTAATATGTATTTTACATGTACACAATCGGGTTTACCTGAACCATCACTTTGTCCAGAAGGTTTTCTTTTCTCAGATATATCTCGTGATTGTGAACTTGCATCACATGTCGATTGTGGATCACGTTTATCAGCTTTCTTCGATGCTGATAATAATAATAATAATATCAATAATAATCATAATAATAATATAAATACTGACAGTAAAATCCTTTTTACCCTAAGAACAACAACTACAACAACTACCACCACCACCACCACCACCACAACAACAACAACAACAACAACAACTACAACTACTACTCGAAGAACAACCCTATCAACTTCTTCAGTTCGATCACAAGCAAATATAGTTAATGGAACATTAGAATGTGTTTTAGGTGCTGATGGTTATTATGAAGATCCATTATATTGTAATGTATATCATCATTGTCTAGCTGGTATTGATTATATTGAACATTGTCCAAATCAATTAGCTTGGAATGAAAAAAAGAAAATGTGTGACTGGTAAATATATCAATCCTAGCATTGTGTTTATTTTTTCTTATGTTAAATTCTATTCTGCTTTTTTTTGTTTAAGGACAACAAATGTGAATTGTACAGGTAAAACTATGCCTGTTGTTCAAGGTAAAACATCATTTTGTACAAATCGACAAGATGGTCGTTATGGATCTGAAACTTATTGTAATGCATTTCATCATTGTATTGGTGGTACTGATCATATTGTACGATGTACTGGTGAATTACAATGGGATGATAAAAAAAAAGAATGTGGTTGGGAATCATCTGTTCGTTGTGGTTCACCAAAAAAAATGTTACCTAATGAAAATAAATTTAATTCAACATTTTGTACAGGAAAAACAGATGGGTAAGAGGATAAAGAATGAAAGAAAAGTCGATGAATGATGAATATTATTATGTTCAGTTTGACATTTTATACATAGAGTTTCGTAATTATAATAATAGATTTCTTTTAATATAAGATTTCATAATGATATTTGAATAAAAATGAATTCTTTAATCGAAACTCAATGGATGCTCTTCTGCATTTTCATTTTTTTTGTGATCGAAAAATCAATTTCAATTTAGCTGTATAAGATAAGATTTCTAAGTGTTCTATGTAATAAGAGATTATCATATCATTCAATTGTAAAACTTACAGTGAAATTTTGTTTTCATATTTAATATTACGCAAAATACAAATTGTTTTAAATCCATATATATTGATGTTTCGGACGGTAGAGTCATCATGAGTGTGATAAAAATCTGTGAAAAACAATTATTTTCTCTCAGATATAAATCTCGCATTATTTTTAGTGCTCTCTTTCTCTCTCTCTCTCTCTCTCTGTGATAAAAATTCTCGACTGATTACGACAGACATAATCTGAATTGCATTTGCTTATTTTTAAAAGAATGTATTGTTTTGTCTTTTGAACTCAGTACATGCATTAGGATTACTATAAAAATAACACTTCATTAATTTGAACTAAATAAAATATGTAACATTGTTGTTATTTTTTAATTTTTTATTTAAATCAAATAGATCATATCCACATGAAGAATATTGCAATGTTTATCACGTATGTGAATCAGGTGCTGATAATATGCGTCAATGTCCACATCAATTATTTTGGGATAATGAACAACAAAAATGTGAATGGTCAAATAATGTTCGTTGTACAGGACGTACACTTGTTGCTCTTTCAATGGAATCAAGTTTATTTTGTATGGAAAAAACCGATGGATTTTATATTGATCCAATTTGTAAATTTTATTTGAAACATTTTTTTTTTCTTAAATCTGTTCTTTTTTTTTTGTAAATATAGATTGCAATGTTTATCATCAGTGTATGGCTGATATTGATGTTAAATTACGCTGTCCAGAACGTTTAGTATTTAATGAAACATTAAAACGCTGTGATTGGCCTGAATCAACAATTTGTAAAGGTGGAAATATATTACTTGAAGGTGAAGATAATAATGGATTTTGTACCGATAAAGTAAAAAAGAAAAACTTACATGAGAATTTTTTTTGAAATAAAAATCTTCTTTTTTTTTTCTTTAGCCAAATGGAAATTTTGCTCATGAACAATATTGTAATCGTTATTATATATGTCAAAATGGAAAAGATGTTGTATTTACATGTCAAAATAATTTAAGATATTCAGCCGAAAAAAATGAATGTGATTGGGCTATTAATGTTGATTGTAATGGTAAACCAGATTATATGTGGGAAGGTATCAAAGAAAATTTCTGTAAACGTTTAGTATGTATTATATGATTTTATATTTTATAATGATGAGTTCTTTTATTTTTTAAATAGCCGGATGGAAATTATCCAGATATTAGATTTTGTAATATATTTCATCAATGTCAAGCAGCTATGGATTATCCAAAACGATGTCCCAATAGACTTATGTTTAATGAAGAAACAAAAGAATGTGATTGGGAAGATAAAGTTGATTGTAAAGGTCGAGAAAAATTAATTGGTTTGTTATTGTTATTTTTTAATTTTATCAAAATTTTGTCACACTAAAAGAATTTCGAATATAGATACTGAAGGTCTGGATGATGAAGTGCGTCCAGGTACAAATAATACTCGAGGACGTTCAACTAAATTTTGTATGGTAAAACAAAATGGTGATTATGCCGATTCATATTATTGTAATGTTTATCATAATTGCCATGGTGGATTTGATACAATTCAATATTGTACAAGAGGTTTAGTAAGTTAAATAAAAACCTTAACCATTTGGTTACGAAGTTTTGCAAAGATGACCAAAATAAAATGTAAATTGATTCATAAAAGCCTAAAATCAAGTATATTCGTTAAATAAAAATAACAGATTGTGTTAAGCTTCAAACAATATCATAAAATTCAGTACTTTAAAAGTCGAGTAGAGTTACTCACAATCTTGCGAAATCATTCATATAGCTCTATGAATAATCCTATGATTCCATATCACAATATATAGATCTAATAATATTCAACGTCTACTCATCTGTAAGATAAGACCTACGGCAGTAATCTTAGCTTTCTCGGGCGATAATGTTTCTTAGACTATAGACATACACACACACAATTTTACGGATTTTTATTCAGTTTCGCAGAGTTTTGAATAATTTTGATCTAAAGAATTTATACATTCTTATATATCTCTAAATTCACAATTATTCATTCTTCTTCATTTGATATACGGGTTACGTGAGATCATTTGATGGCACTATAGTATCAAAAGTATAAGGTAAAGAGAGAGGATTAATGTAAAAGTTACATTGTGTATAGAAGTTCAGCATGTATATATACATATAGGAGTCCTGTAATCAAAAGATTACACAAAATTTGTGATATCGATCTTGATATGAACATTTTACGAGGGAACCTCTCCAGATGTCGAATTGCTTTTCGATGGAGACTATATTCATTTGATGAGTACTTGTAAGTAATTGAAAAGTCTAAAATGGTTTGCTTTTCCGGACTTCCGTTCTTGATATACAAAAATTTTACTGGATTTTTCAACAAAACAATTGTGATTCCCTATCCTCCACCGCCACCCTCTCAGGTCATGTAGAGAATCAACTTTCGAGTTTTGACTTCACACTTTACACGAACAAAGTTCTCAATAAGAGAAGTTCATTGGGCAAGTTGTAACTTTTCTAGTATCTTCTATCCTGAAATATTCAATATTTGAAATTCTCTCATATGTAAAAGCAAATTTTGTTCATAGATTTACATGCCCAAAAAGAAAATACTGGAAGAGTTAAAGTTTACATAATCAACTAATCTCATTAAAAGCTTAGGTCGTGTTCAGTTTGAAGTCAAAACTCTCACCTGAGCTGAGGAAGATTACATCTTTTTATTGAAAAATCCAATAGAATTTCGTTATATGAGGAGTGAAGCCCCGAGAAACGAAATCTTTCCAAACTTCTCTATTACTTACTAATACTCATCGTATGAACATCATCTCGATCGACTAGCACGTGAACATTTGAAGATATTCCCTCGTTAGATGAACATATTTAACAAAACAAAGTTTATTGAAATTTTTGAATAATTATAGGTCTGGCGTCAAGAAAGTGAAACAATAGGTAGATGTGATTGGTCTAAAGAACGATCACCGGATGGAGCAGATTGTAATGGAAAAGCTTTGTAAGATAAATAATCATAAAAAACACACTACCGTAAAAGTTGAATTTCGTTGATTTCTCTATAGATTTTTTGTCGAAAAATTAGCTGAAAATGATATATTATCAAATTTACGTTCAGAATTTTGTATAAGTAAAGGTGCTGGTCTATACGAACATCAACGTTATTGTGATCTTTATTTACAATGCAATGAACAAGGTGTGGGTGTAACAATGGAATGTAGTCGTATGTAGAATTTTTTCATCATATTAATAAATAATTTTTTTCTCCTTGGATTTTCTTTATTAAAAAGCTGGTCTTGTTTTTAATGAAAAGAAAAAAGAATGTGATTATCAAGCAGATGTTAGTGATGGAACAAAAGGTACATTATGTTTAACACCACGAAGTTTTCTACGCTCAAAACCAAAATCTGAACAAGCATCCATATTATTCGAAGGTGTTGATGCTACTGGACAATTTCCGTAAAATATTTAAGAAAAAAAAAAAAGAAAATTTTTTATTATGAATTCGTTTTTGTTTTAAATTTAGAACACGTTTTGATTGTATAAACAAAGATCAACAAAATATGTTTGCTGATTTAGATTGGTGTAATATTTATCATGTATGTATTGGTAATCGTGATAATATATTTTTATGTCCACCTGGTACAATATTTAATGATACAAAACAAGGTTGTATGGATCGTTTTGATGGAACAAATTGTAATGGTACACGTTCTTATTATAAACCATTAACAAGACGTCAAAAACGTATTGATTCATCATTAATATCGAGAAAAGTACCACAAAATAGTTTTCATTTGGCAAATTTAAAACAATTACCATTTAATAATTATAATCAACGAATTCCATTTGAATGGAGAAAACCACAAAGATCAAGACAGGTGAATTCTTCTTTCTTTTGTTCATGAATATTTAAACGCTTCTTTTCCTAATTTGACTTTATTATAGTTCGATGATAATTTTTTTGAATGGCGACAATATCGTCAATATTAATTATTATTCTATTGCACAAAAAAGACGAAACGATTTTTATTAACTATTATTTCTTGATTTTTTTTGCTTGTTTTATGTAGTTCTTCGTCTATTTCATCACCTACACGTGAATAAACCGAAACAGTTTGTTTTGTTTTCTTTTTATTGAGTAGACCGAGAAAAAAATAGCGACAAAGAAGACTAAGAAGATTGACAAATGCTCATATCTATAGTGATGTTAAATATTAAAAAAATTTCATAAACAAATTTATCGAGAACAATTTTGTTGGTCTATTTCAAATTTCTACGAACATTAATGCTAATCAAATATCAATCTACATCATTGGTTAAATCTATTGATAAATTAATTTTCAGGATATCATGAAAAAATTTCTGTCGGAAAGTCAATTAAATAGAAAAACATCGTATTGAAAACTGTAAAAATTTGTTGTATCATTACTTTGGATTTGTATTAATTGACATCAAGATTAATTCATGATTGCAAAATGCATTTAATGGCAAATGTGTTTACTAATAGAAAATTTTGTTCATTTAAAATTGTCAATAAAAAACTATTTTTATTTGACTAGAAATTATACTGGAAGGATTGATGAGGAGAAGAATAATTTCATCAGTCTGTTGTTCAACTAAACGCTTAGTTTTGTTTTCTTTTGATGAGAACCCAAATATGTTTCAATTGAAAAGTCCATCCATGAGTCGAAAACTGTCGAATTATATAATATTAGTTACAAAAATTAAATAATACTTTCGTATGATCCTTTAATTTAGAATACATTTAATTGTTTTATGTTCATTTGTAATTTAGTAATAAATTAATTAAAAATAAATTAATGATTAAAATTTTGAATAATTCATTATTGTTTGATTTTATGTGATTAACAAAAGAGTATCGCCTTGCTTTTAAACAAAAAAGCAGTTGACGCAATCTCTATGTGATTAAAATATGAAACACGATGGAGCTGCTGATATTATATTGTAAGAGATGCTATTCAATATGAATTGTGTTTCGGTTTAGGAATTTTTATTTACTATTTAATGCATGCCGATGATAACAGATATTAATCGTTATATATTACAGTAGCTGTGAAAAAAAGTAAAGGACAACTATCATTCTAATCTAGTAGTGAATTTTCATTTCGTGATTATATCTGTCGAGGTTTGTCACAGTGGAGTAACGTTACTAAGATGTCTATCAAGTATGTGGACAGAAGGGAAGATCGAACATTTCTGTCTCTATATCTCAACACTTCCTTGAGATCTAGTATCACAATAGAGCATTCATCATAAAATATAAAATATACGTTGAGAATTTTTGTAGATTGATTTGACAACAATTTTGTCGAAATTATGTTCAACATAAGTATTCTTTAATGTTATCTTAATGATAGAAATATATCTTTTGCATGAGCTAATCTGATTCTGAATGATTTACTTTTTATATTTCAATCATCAAGTTCGCTAAAATATTGATCTTTCTGCTTCACATTGTATTTTCTTGTTTACTCTAACAAAATATATAAATTAAAACAACTCAATTAAATACCAACAAAAAAAAAAATAGCACACAAGTCAGATATATGTATATATTAATCTTATTGCTGATAAAAGTATAAAAAATTGTTTCAAAAATAGCAAATTATAGGTATAATGCGTAATATTAATATTTATTTCTAGGATTTTGAAATATTAAATCATAAATTTCTTGCCAAATTTGCAAAGGAATTTTTAAAGGTATTTTCATCTCATAATCCCATGAACTATATGTATCATATAAACAATTTTCTGAAAACCGAAAGTTTGAACTAAAGTCTCGTTCAATATATTCTGGTCGTTGAATGGGTACTGATTTTCTATAGCGTTCATTAATAATTTCATCACGCTTGCTGACGACCTTAGCAGTCCAATCGAGAATATTTTTAATGGGATAACTAATAAATAAATAAATAAATAAATAAATTAATTAATTAATTAAAAGAAAAAAGAAATGAAATTCTATAACGATTATAAAATACGTACTAATGACTATATCGAAGTAACATGACACAAAGTAATTGAATAAAATATGACCCTGCAGTTGGACTTCGTTTTGATGCTTCCTTTGCGCTACAAGAATAGGCAACAATCATTTTTGGTGATAAATCATTCTCTGTGACACCTTCACGTTCGCTACATTGCATATGTTCCGGCCATTCTGATCGACATGCTTGAATAAAGAATAGACGTGGTTTTCCAGCCCAGATAGTTTTTGATGAATCACTGTAATATTTTACAATGTCTCGTATAATAACTTCTTTTGCATCGGCTGTAAAAAATGAATGTAACAGTCTACGAAAAAATAAATAAATAATGAATGATGAAAAATCTATAAAAATCTTACCCATGAGACATAATAAACACAACAAGACAATCAAAATTTTCAAATGCATTTTTATCATTAATATAATCTAATGCTTTATCAAGATCATGTTTTTTAAAATCAAATTTACATTCTAATGTTGTAAATTTTAATTTTTTAAAAATAACTTTTATCAGATTAACATCTTTATCGGATCCTGATCGTTTAGATGTCTCAATTTCAATAGTTGAAGTAAATGCTGTAATATTAATTATTACACATAAACCTTTTCCTGGCACATTCGATGATAACGATGGTGATGATGCTGGTTGTTGAATAATCGGACGAGATACAGATTCTTTTGGAACTTGTTCTACAGACGAAGAAACTAAAATTATTATTTAACAAGATTTTTTTTTTCTATTGAAAACAAAAGCAATATTTACTGGATGATGCTATTTGTTCACGATTCGGACATAAAAATTTTGTCATAAATAATGAAACAACATCAGGAGAATGCTGATATATCATAGTATCTATTTGTGTAGAACTATTTTCACTATATAATATTGAATTATAATGTCTTTCAAATGTGATTATAAACTCTTCATATCTTTTAATAAATGATTGAAAAGCCCGGATAGTTTTATCAACAATAACCAATTTTTGTGCAAAAAATGGAGTTAGAATTAATACAGAAAAAAATTGCGGAAATTTTACACCTAAGTTGTTATATATATCTAATAAATTATCAATAGGCTGTCGAATATTTAATAAAAATTTTAATTCATTTAGATTCTGGTTTGATAAACGATCATCGATTTGTGCTAATAAAAAACAATATGCTAAATTTAATTCATCATCAATAGAAAATTTTATATTCGATTTTAATTGATTAGTATCATTATCTATCATCAATTCAGATAAATATCTTTCTTTAAAATGTATCATTATTGCTAATTCAATTCTTGTTATTGGTGTATCATTGTATTTTTCATCATGATCTTTTCTAGTTGTCAATAAATTTTCAAATTTTTCTTTCAAATTATTTGATAAAACAATTAATGGTGTACAAGCATCTTGATGATGAAATAATCTTACAAGTAAATTAACACATTGACTATCGAATTGTCCAAGTGTCAATGAACATTGTTGAATAAATTCTTTTGTTATATCCCACATATCTATAAATAAATGTTTATTTTTAATTCTTTTTTTTTTTGTTATCTTCTCTTTTCATCTTCTATATTTTAATTGAAGATCTGTTTTTGTTTGTTTTGAAATGAAAGAAAAAAAGAAGAACTCTTGGGACTAAAAGAACTAGAATGAATAACAATCAATGGTCGCCGAAACTACATACACAGTACGCATCGGGAAAATTTGCATGAGAAAAAAAACAAGAAAAAAAAAACGAAAGAAGAACAACAACAACCACAGTAAAGAGAAGAACAACAAAAAAAACAAACATTATTTGTCTTTATAGTTTGGCAAGGAACTGAATTACACAACGATTGTATAATATATGTAAAGCTGGAATTCTAAACGCATTTCTATGCTAGATAACAGGGATTCACGGAATATGGGACAGTCTCGTCCCACATAAGAGAAACAGGAACGGTTCGTACAATGGCACAAGATTTTTCGTTCTGTTCCATCCAACGCAGAGCTCTGTTAGATAATAAGTCTAGCTACATGTGGCTAAAAACTATTGGATATTTTATTGACGACTAGATTTAACAAAAAAAAAGTACAGAAACAAGAATATGTACCACATAGCACCACGTTTAGCATTCGTCGCATATTGATCAAGTCTTTATTTATATATATATATAATTATAGACATGTTGACTTTACAACAGCAAGCAATACAGTTACATCATCGGGTTTTCCACCTAAATTAAACAAAATAGACAATTTAAAACGAAATTCTACAAAAATAATAATTGAAAATACAAGACAAGTCGTTTTGATTAGGTTAAAATTTTTATTCTATCTAAAGAATTAGGATGGCACGCTCTGATTAATTATTCTATGATTTAATTATATATTGAAATTTTTTATTATTGTTCCTAGTCAGCTGTTTGTTCCTTTAATCATGTATGTCTCTATTTATTTTGAAGTACGTGCTTAACTTATCCATTTAATAGAATACTTAAATATCTTCATTGTTATAGTCAAAAATCTAATCAGTAACGACAAATAATTGAGCTTTTTCAAATTAATCAATTATCGAACAGGCAAAGTTATGCGATAATAAATAGTAAATAGTTTCCTATATCTGAGTTGAAATTAACGACAAGAAAAATACTTCAATACTAAACGTTTGAAATCTGAGTCTATTTAGAAGAAAACAAAACATGCAACGAAAAGCTTTTCCAAACGGAGAAAGCTTCTAGGAAAATTGTTTGTTTATAGCTACCAAATTATTAGAAAATATGGTTTTTTCCTGGTACATTATATCAGGGATGATAAAAGACAACATTTGTTTGTCATAAGCAGATTTTTTCTGTTGCTTATTTTTATGTTGTCATTTGTTTATAATATAAAATATGCTAAGTCATTAAATTATATTTTAAAATATAAATGGGCTAATACTGTTATTTATCTAACAAAAACTACTTTTATTAATCTATGACAAAAAAAAACAAAAACAAAATTAATCTTTTCTCTTTACCACAAATATTAATTCCCAATGATCTTTTAGCACTCCGTGCGAATGGTGAGTAGAAATTTGGATCATGGCCATTTTTTAACGCACATTTAGCTAAACTATGTGCTATTCGTTGTAAATTATCCAATGTTGGTTCCTAGAAAGAAAAACAATAATAATTCAAAAAAGAAATTAATATTCTATATTTTACTCTCAAGAGATTCGCCGCTCATCGACTGTCGCTCTTTTTTCCCTTCTCCTCTTTTATGCTGTTCCTAATCAAATTCTGTTTACAACATACTGACAAAACGACTGCTTTTGCTAGCAACATTTCTCGCATGTCAATCAACTACAATCGGAAACAGTGCGATAGTGTATACAGAAAGAAAAAGCTGAGATAACATATTTTTCCTAGTGTCTTCTTCAATCTTATAGCGATATCCAGCACTGCAATGAATATGATGAATGAATGTCAGACATTCTATGTATATAACGCTTTGTGTCTCCTTCCTTGATGTATCAAAATAACAATCTATCAGCTGCCTGTAAACCATATATCTAAACGATTCGTTTTAGTAAATACCACATTAGCATAAAAAGAAAAGCAAGTGTAAGTATCGATATATATATATTACGTTATGAATATACACATTCCAAAATGGATTCTTGCTGCGCTTGTTGGTGCAGCTCCAATGCTTGGAATTGTATTTTTTATATTGTTTTCATGTACACTACTTGGTCTTGTACAACGATGTAAAATAAGTTTAACAAAATCATATGCAAATCGAAGAAAAATTATCACGCATGATCAATTATTCACCGAAAATGAAAATCTAAATCTAAATCCATTAACATTACTTGCATCTACATCAAATACACTTATTGTTTCACCGTTTGATGATATACCAATGAAAGATATTGATGCGGAATCATCATCAAAAGCATATTCAGAACCGAAAGGTAATTTATTCATTTTCTCTTCTATTTTAATGAAATTTATTTCTCTCGAATCTTTTCTTGTTTTTTGTTTCTTTAAGATATTTCAAATTATTCAAAACATCGACGAAATCGAAGTACGAATCCTTCTCTAACAGAATCTGATTATGATAATGGTTCATCGAGTATTTTTAATGATAATGATTATGAACAAGATCGTTTATCACTTATCGAAATTTCATCACAGCGTAGAATAGCAATGAAACAACAAAAATCTCCCGATACAATAATTCATATTTAAAACTAACTTACTTTAATTTGTTTTATTTCTTCAAGTATTGTAGCATCAGGTAAATTATCCCATAGACCATCTGTTGCAATAACAATAAAATCATTTTCTTCAACATGAAATGAAGTCACTGATGCTAAATCGGGACTAGAAAGAAAAACAAGAACCATACAATCAAATATATAAACAATTTTTTTTTCTAATTTTTGTGCAATTCATATATATTTTTTGAAAAAAAAACAGTGGATGTAAAGTTTAAATCAAGGTTTTTGCGACTCCCGAGGGATTATCGTTATGTATTTATTTTTTTTGGAATTTATTGGATTTTTTAAAACTAACGGATTTATCTTTTGATAGACATATAATCAAGACTTTCGATAGATTGTAGAAGTGGACGAAGCTAAAAATTTGACAGACAATCAGAAGCGGTTTGTCTGGTAGAAAGTGACAGAGGAAAGCAGCCTTGTAAAATCTAGCAGACAGTTTTCCAGTATTAGCTTGAAATTTTCGCAGATGCGACATACCAAATGAGAAGGACTAACCAACCTCATTCTCTCTCACATCGAGACACATGCATATAATACATTTTACCTGTACCAAAAGATAGTCAAGGTACAGAAGAGTTAGCCGTCAACCTGATTATCATTTCTACTCTTGTCCTAACTAGATACTTGTCCTCGACATTTTTCTATTCCATATGATGAGAAAATATATGGTAGGAGTTTATAGACAAATCCTGAAAGTTACTGGAATAGTGATGTATTGATTAGTCACAATCATCATATAACCAACATGAAAAAAAAAAAGAAACCGATGAAGTGATAACTTTGGAAAATAATTAATATCAGTATTTCTGAGCTTATCAAGATAAACAATAGTGCGCTGAGAGAGCTGTTGTAGATATAATCGATATGTAGAGCAGACTTATTTGCCAATTGAATCATAGGTTAAAATAATAATAATAATAATAATAATGTTAAATTAAGAAAAACGGTATACGAAAATGAAGAGCAACAAGGTAAACAAAAAATAGAGCGTCATTAAAAGACAAGAAAAAAAGTTTTATTTGAAATGCAGAAATAAATAATAAAAAGGATTATTTCCTTAACGATCGATTATTCTTGGAAAACAACTATAGCCTGATAAAGATTTTTCCTTGATATATTTTAATATTAGTATAATGAGGCTAAAGAACACACGCATGTGAGTTCCACATTTTATCCTTAAAGAAGTTTCGTTGACAAGTTTTCGATATAAAAAAAAATAAAGTCAACAACAGTAACATTATTTTTTTAATGCAAAAAGCAACAGAAATTGTTATTTTCTTTTTCTTCGGTATAATTACCTATGAATATTGATTATTAATAGTCAAAAAAAAGAAAACGTCAAACTTATGATAATATATATATTCTCTATATAAAAGTTATTTGAAAAAAAAAAAGAGTAAAATGAAATATTCTTTTTGTTTTGTTCATACCTATCAGCAATTAAACGTGGATCTTTAATTGTTGGATGAATAGCTAACTGAAATGGTGAATTAAAATAATGTTGTTGTTCTTGTGATCGGTGTACTATTGTATTTTTTCTTATAACAACAAAACCACTATCACCTAAATTAGCTGTATGTAATATTCTTTCTTCATTATGTAATGCAACAATGCATGCTGTACTACTTCCTAAATGAGAAAAAAAAGAATTTTTCGGTTTGTTTTTCTTTTGTTTGTAAAATAATTTTTATTACCAATAATACATTGTTTATCTTCTAATAATTGTTTATAACCTTTGGATAATAATTCTTTTAATGTTAATGGATTTAAATCAATAAGTTTATTATCAATTAATGATTTACATGCTTCCATTAATGAACGTGAAAATAATGATGGATCAATACCATGTTCACGCCAACCACCAACACCATCAGCAACACCTATATTTTTGAAAAAAAAAATTGTGTTCAATTTTTTTTTTTCATTTATTCAAATAAATAATAAATACCAAGAAAATCTCCAAAACGATGTTTTGTTATAAAAAAAGCATCGTCACCATAAACATTTGATGGATGTGATTTTTGTTCTATTAAGGAATTCCTTCGTTTCGTTTTTGTTATACATTCATATTCATTATTATCATGACTTGAATAACCCGATGAAACAGTGACTAGATGTACCGTATGTTTAATTGCTGTCGATGGATACGTTATAGCAAGACGATTGGAAGATTGTGTTGCATGAACACAAGATGATGATAAACGTAATAAACCATTAAAAAGAATATGTTCAGCTTCTGTACTACTAATAGCACGTGCAAATAATCGAGCATAAACAGATAATGATTGCATAATTAAAATAAAATTATCTAAATAAATTAAGTAAATATTAAGTTAAGAAATGAAAAAAAAAAAACAAACTTTGAAAGAACTTTGGACATCGGTAGTTGATTACCTAGAGTAAAAAAGAATTGTATTTTATTTTATTTCTACATGTTTAAGCCTACTGTTAATTTATTTCGTTTGATCATAGAAAAAAAAAACTCAGAATGCTTTTTTTTGAAGTACCACTTTTTTCTCGTTTTTTTTTTTCGTTCTATTCGTTTGGTAACAAGGGATGTGGGGCGCTGAAGTAACAGCAACAATATTTTGTATCAGTAATGTATTGAAAAAATTCTCTCTCTCTTTTTCTCTCGTGCTTTCACTTTTTTCTCTGAGGTCAATCTATGCATTAATAAATAGATGTCTATGTGCTTGTAGCCAATAATCAATACACAATATCGAATTGAACTATTCAATATGAGAGAGATTGGTTACATTTGAAAAGAAATTTTCATGTAGATGAATAGAATGAAAAAAACAGAGCATAGCAATATATATTTCTGCAAGTGAAGAAATAATAAACTACCTGCATCAATGATGCAAAACATTTCAATATGCATGAAAAGTGCACTTCAACGAACTGATTTGTCAATAGATATGTATATATACATACGATTATTCTGATGGTAAAGCAACGTATTTATTTTCTTCGATATATAAAAATATTAGAAAGTTTATTAGCTGTAAAGAATTCAAAGTATTGATAAACAATAATATTCTTCTGCCAGATGACAAGCAGAAAAAGTAATTTATACTTTATATATACTTTGCTTTTATGAGGCTGTCATCACCTCAAGTTCTAAGAACTTCATTATATAGACTATTTCACATATGATTGAAAAGAGAGAAATAAAACCTTAGAGAAGAAATGTTTTTCATATGTCTGAAAAATTAATAAACATTGCCTATTAATAAAGTTAAGTTCTTCTTCTTTTTCTTCTTTGCACAGTAAGACATCTTTGTTAACACGTGCAAATACAACACTTCAATGTTATGTTTTCTGCATGGCAGTAGCAACAGAACGATAGCGAGCAATGTGTAAATAAATATAGGTTAATAATAGATGCTGTCAGGACATGTTTATTCGCTTCCATTTAATGTTCTTTCATATTATATGTTGATGCATACCAAGCCTCCTGGTGAATAATCTCATTGAAAACAGCTGTATATATATATATATATATTCACTTTGAACGTCAAAAGAGTCGATCATACAAGTATGTTTCAAGTATATGACAATTGATCGACCATGGATAACCTTATACTACTATGAATGATTATTATTCAAAATGAAAAAGAAAACAATAATCAACAGGACTGACCTGAATATTTGGAGATCAGCTAGACAATGAAATTCACACTGTATAATCTTAACTTTCACAATGACAAACAGATCTAAAATAAAAATGATAAAAATCTTTTTATAGACCATTTATTTGAATGATAATAAATTTTTCTATGTTAAGATGAAATAAAATCATGTATTTATTCTATGCTCGATTGATTGGATGAAAGAAAAGAAAAAACAAAATATAAAGAACATCATCATTGTACGTTCTCTGTGAAAAAGACACTCACGTGCTTTCTCTTGTCACACTTATCTAAATGAAGTTTGTCTCGTAATATTTTTTTTGTCCTATTTAAAAAAATAATTACGTCATTACTATCATGCAAAAATAAAGAGAAGAAAATAGAACAGAAAGGAAGTATAACTATAGACACTTGACCTCGAATAGTGTACGATAAGGAAAAAAATAAATAGCATCAAATTATTGAGGAGTTGTACTTTGTATGATTCGTTTTATCTTATTGACTTAGTCGTTTCATTATTAAATAAATAACACACACGTATATATATAAAGACTTATGCTCAATAGTATAGAATTTAATTAATGAAAGTAATGGAAACCTACATACGTATCGATTAATAATCATGCTTAACATATGTTCAAAAGGTTAGAAAGAAGAATTCTTTTTTCTTCTCTAATCTAACCCTATACATCCATTCACATAGTACTACGACAAGAAGCAACTCTATCCAGTAACGACAAGAAATAGAAGGTTGTCTGATTTATCGACTCGAGTGCAATGAAGAACGAAGAACAAAAAAAAAGCACATTACATGGCAAAAATGAAAGGAAAAGAACGAGTACATGATGGGGCATAGTACACATTGTTAGTCGACGTAATAAGATAAAAACTTCGAAATAAAAAGAGAGAAAAAAAGAAAAAGAAGAATGAATACTTCAATCATTATCAATTCAAATTATACTAATTCTAAAATTTCTTCTATAAATCATAAATAAATAAATAAATATAATGTTATCGACTTGTTTTTTATTCACCTACAATAGACAGATAAGAAGAAGAGGAATACAACAAGCGAAATAACAATTCTTATGCAGCATATTCTCACATACACATTTAACAAACAGAAATAAAAAACGAGACAAATAAATAAAAAGCATGGACGCGAAATGTCTATATAGCTTTTTTTTCATTTAAATTTCTTTTATGATCTATACAAATTATAAATCAATTTTTTTTGTTTTATCACTATCATCATCATCATCGTCCAAATTGACATCACTAAGATCAATATCTTCAACAATATCCAATTTTCCATCTTGACCATCCCATGGTTCACTATCAATAATAGTTGGTAATTTTCCTTCAGCTACACCATTCAATGGTACAAGTGGACTTGTTAAACGACCAGCTGATAATTCTTTTAAAAATGAACTTATGCCTGTTTGACTAAATGCACCTTTTAAGACAACATATTTTCCTTTACGTGCATTTATAGCAACTTGTGCTGGATAACCAAAACCTCCAATGCCAACTGTTTCTTCAAATTTTTGTTGACGAAATGCTTCAACCCATAACCAACCCCAGCGATTACGTTTATAAGTTTCAGCAAAATTTTTCAACATTGTTAAATGTTCATTACGACATGCTGATTGACAATCGAGAATATTTGGTAAGAATGATATTATACATAATTGTTTTTCAGCACAATTATCATCTAAAATAGCTTGATTTGTTATTTCAAGAACATCCGGTGCTGGAATATTTGCTTGAAATTTATCTAATGCCCATGCAACAATATCCTGTTTGAAAAGAAAAAAAAAAAACATTTTCTTTTGTTTTGTTCATACAAATAAATAAATAACATACACTTGATGTTCGTCCACCATCATAGTCTTCAGCTTGACCATCTTTTCTACCAGTTGGAAAAAATTTTATTGTTGGAAAACCTTGGATTCCATATTTTTGTGCCAATTGTGTATGAACAGTTGCATCAACAACACCTAATTTAACTTTGCCTTTAAGTTCCGTTGCAGCACGAGCCCATTCAGGTGCTAAATTCTTGCAATCTACCAAACATATACATATATAGATACAATCTAGAAGATATTATTTTAGACTAAATACTTACGACCACACCATGGAGCCACTAAAAAATAGAAAAAGAAAAAAATTATTTATTTAAATATGAAAAGTTATTTTTATGAAAATTAATCGATCAAGAAACTTTTCATTTAAAACAAGCTTACAGATCGCTTTTATCTTTAAACACATGTATAAAGAAACCTTCGATAATAGTAATTGAGTACGTATGAAATATCTATATTTTCCTAGATTAGGTAGTTCTCTTAATATTTATCTGTAACTAAATTGTGTATATCAAACTTAATCAGATGAATACAAATCAACAACAAAATTTATAATCATGTTTTTCCTTGACATGTCAATTCGAATATATCAATTATGAAGATAAATTTCGAATAAACATTACATGCCTGACTGATTTTTTATTAAATAAAAAAAAGACAGTAAGGAAATCGAATCGGACAGAAGTTTAATTATTGACTAGAAAAAAAAAGACTTACTAAATTCAACAAGCCACATATCTTCCGAATCGATAACTGTTGACTAGAAAGGAAAAAAAATGACTAATTAAAAAGAAAAGTAATTCAATTTTTCAAAAATATTTTACATCAAAATTACTGTCTGTTAATTCAATTGTGTCTTTCCCTCCGCTTCCGCTGCCACTACTTCCACCACCACTACCTCCAGTTCGTTTACCCAAACGTTCATTTACAATTGTTCTTAATTGGCTAAGAGCCTGTTCAACGATAGCATCAGTTGTTCGTCCACCTTGATAATTTGTTGGTGATCGCTTATTACTTCCAAATATTTTTATTGTTGGAAAGCCTGATATTCCATATTGCTGACCAAGTGATTTATGTGTATCAGCATCGATAGCACCAACTTTAACAATACCCTTTAATGCTGTTGCGACACGTTTCCATTCAGGTGCTAAACTTTGACAATCTAAATTTGTCAAAAAAAACAATAATCATTATAAAATGAAAAATAATTCAATAAATTAGACACTTACGACCGCACCATGGTGCATAAAATTCTACAAACCATAAATCTGAACTTTGCATAACGAGACGATCAAAATTTGACGAATCAAGTTCAATAACATCATCGCTTGAACTGTAAAATCCATTTGTTGTAGAAACAAGAAAACCAATGATGAAAAAGGTTAAAGACGTATGCATTTGTGATCTCATGTAGAATGTTAATTGAACAATGTAGAAATGATATGAAAGAAGAAAAGAAAACGAGACTCTATGATTTAACTCTAATCCTTTCAACCAACATTTGAATTACACGATCTTTTTTTCTCTTCATTATCTATCTTCTCTTCCCCAATCACGATTCAGCGCGTTGAACCGATGTCATGGACCTATGAAAAATAATTTTCAAACCTCTACCATGATGTTATTAAGAAAACATGCAAGTTTTTATTGGTTTTGAAGTTAGTTTATTTCATTTTTCTTACAATATTCAATTTGAAAAGAAAAGAAAATCATTTAGTTAATAATCTATTTTTAAGAGGTTGAATATAAGCCATTTTATGATTGGTTAAATTTATATAACCAACTCATAAATATAAATAAACAAAGCTAAATAGTCATTATAACATTTTTTATTGGAAAAGCAAGATAGATTAGTTTTACATTTGACTTTTATTTATCTATTTATTTTTCAGAAATTCTAATAGAACAAAAAGAACAAGCAGAAACAAGATGAACAAAACTCCAATTTTACTTGGTTCGCTTATTTCAAAAATTAGCCCCAATCTTGTTCGTTATGCATCAAGTGCAGGTGCATCAACAACTTCTGTATGTTATCAATATTATTCTATTGTTAATCTAGTTTACTTTTTCTCTATTCTAGGCAAAAAAAGTCGCCGTTTTAGGTGCTAGTGGTGGTATTGGGCAACCACTTTCCCTATTACTTAAGTTAAGTCCATTGATCAGTGATTTATCACTTTATGATATTCAACATACAAAAGGTGTTGGTGCTGATCTTAGTCATATTGAAACACGTACCAAGGTGAGAGCTTATGTTGGTAAAAATGAATTATCTGATGCACTCAAAGGCATGGAGCTTGTTGTTATTCCAGCTGGTGTACCAAGAAAACCAGGTAAAATGCATGATTTTTCTTTATACAAGTGAAAAATTCTTTCTTTAAGGTATGACACGAGATGATTTATTTAATACAAATGCAACAATTGTTGCTGATCTTGTTTCTGCTTGTGCTAAAAATTGTCCACGAGCCATAATTGCCATTATTGCAAATCCAGTCAATTCAACAGTTGTTATTGCTTCGGAAATTATGAAAGCACACAATGTTTATGATGAAAAAAAAGTTATTGGTGTTACAACATTAGATGTTGTTCGTGCTGCAACATTTGTTGCTGAAGCTAAAGTTTGTGTTTTATTTTGCTGTGAAAAATTTCTGTGTTTTTTTAAAATTTATTATTCTCTATAAAGGGTCTTGATCCAGCAAAAGTTAATATTCCAGTTATTGGTGGTCATTCAGGAAATACAATAGTTCCCTTACTTTCGCAAACATCACCACCTGTTTCATTCTCTCAACAAGAATTAGAAAGTTTAACAACACGTATTCAAAATGCTGGAACCGAAGTTGTTGAAGCTAAAGCTGGAGCTGGTAGTGCAACATTATCAATGGCACATGCTGGTGCAAGATTTTCATTTGCTGTTCTTGAAGCTTTAAGTGGTAAAGAAGGTGTTGTTGAATGTGGTTATATAGCATCACGAGAAACAGAATTTAGTTACTTTGCTACACCACTTCTTTTTGGCGTATGTTTATATTGTTATTTGTTGTTGTTTTTCTTTTAATTTTTTTTCTTTTTTTTTTTTTTTTTTACTTTTAGCGTAATGGTGTCGAGCGAAGTATGGGTGTTGGTAAATTATCTGATTTTGAAAAGAAGTTAATTGAAAAAGCCAAAAAAGAACTCAATGGAAATATTCAAAGCGGTGTTACCTTTGCTAAGCAATACTTATCAAAAACGCAATGAATTCAATAAAAGAAAACAGAACTGAAATCTATTATAACTAATTATCTTTTTTTTGTTGTTGTTCTTTTCTACTATAAGCTAAATCCAGCATTGACATCCATGTTTCATCTTCTAGAGAGTAGCCCTACAATAAAGAAAGTGGAGCGGAAACTATATTCAATAAAATAGTGAAACCTTTTGATCTTTAGATTAAAATAAAAATTTCCAACATAAAGTAATAATAAAAATGGTACGATTAAATGTTGATCAAATGAGCCGTTATGTTAGTCCAGTTAATCCAGCTGCTTTTCCAACACTTAGCATAGTTTTATTAGGTACATTAAAAGAAACCCTTGAAACGGCTTGAAGTAATAAATTTTATTTGTTTAGGTATTGGCATATTTTTGATGTCATGGTTTTTTGTTTATGAGGTCACAAGTACAAAATATACTCGTGACTGGAAAAAAGAAATTCTCATTGCTCTGTATGTTTCATCTCAAGATTTTGATGAAAATAATTTATGTATTATTTTATTTTAGTGTGGCATCATTTTTTCTTGGTTATGGTGGTTTATTTCTTTTACTTTGGGTTGGAATTTTTGTTTGAATACCTACATACGAAACAATGACTAATTGTTCAAACTTGAAAGTTTATCGTCGTTTTCTTTTTTTTTTTTCTTCTTCTGTTTATTATATTAGTTGATTGATGAGTTGTTATTGTTTTGGGCTTGTTGATTATTATGTCTTTTTTTTCTTATTTAAAACAAAGTCTTATTATCTGTTTAAAGAAAAAAATAAATTTTCTCTTGACTTTTAGATTATTTAAAAACAAAACAAAATCATTTTTGTTTTAATGTATATATTAAATAAATTGTACATATTCAATGAAAAGGTATGTAAATAATTTAATTACTATAGATCATGAGATGATATTATTTCTTGTAATGACGGCACCACTACGGGATGAGCTCTCTCAGAAAGTGTTTGAGTCTCTGAAATTCTTTTTAAATTGTTGCTAAAATAGTTCTATAGCAGGGCTGAGGGGTTCAGTCCCCATGACTGGAAATTCTAGCGCCACCATTAATTTCTTGATTGTTCAATCGATGAAATGTTTATGTTTTTTTCTGTTTCTAAATAAATACAGATGGAATACACAACTTGTTAAAATTTATTCGTCTCATTTTTAGAGACAAACATCCATGAAGAGAGTGAAACAAAACAACAGATGGTTGTATAAGAACAAAGAAGAGAGAAAACATAGCATACTTTTGTCTCTATGTTAACAGTGTGTATAGGAATCAAGAAGTATCTGACGAAATAGTTTTTTTTTTTCATATGGTCACATCACACATTATAAACGTGACTAGATCAGAATAAGCACAAGAAAAGAACAAAGAAATGTATGATCAGTAAAGAAAGCCAGTAAAATATTGTTTGTACATACATCGATTAATATATATATGTGTACGTCTACAAATTGACCTTATCTCTCAATGGATATGATTTAATTTATATATAGATTGACATTTTGTTTATCTTTTGTTTTATAGAAAAAATAAGGAGGATTTTTTTATCAAGGTAGTCTGTTATCATTTTCTGGTATTTTTGCCAAAATATTTGTATTGATATTTAGATGAATCTTATTTTTTTCGTTGACTTACAACGTTATTTTATCTTTATTTTATTTGTCTAAAGACTGATAAATGATCAAAATTGAGTGCAACGAAAAAAGAAAAAGAGTAATATATTAATGTTAACCTTGAGAGCCCTTTTATGGAGTTCGATCCATTTAAGTGCATTCTTTTAGCAGTGATGTAATATGTCATACGTTTTTCTTTTCCTGTTCTTTCTTTCAGTTGCCATTGGTCTTCGCGATTTTTTTCTCTCTCTATGAGTACAACTAAACTATGATGTTTTGTTAGATTAATATACTTGGATCTAAAGAGAATATGAAAGAAAAAATGTGAATATAAGTCATCATCACATGATGATGTTTTTTTCTTTGCTCGTTCTTGTCGATTTTTTCTTCTCATTCTCCATATATGTAGCATGCGCTCAGCTGCTGGCTGGCTGTGTCGTATTATCGGTATTCTACGCACACAAACGCACATGAGACAACGTATAAGCTATATCATTGGGGTCGTTGGTAATTGCGCGCCTGGCTTTATAGAAAGAAAAAGTGACCTGTATACATTTTGTATAAATGAGAATATTGAATTGGTAAATGTATATATATTTATATACTACTATTGCATCATTTCTCGTCTCGTTTTTTATCCAATTCTCTATCGTAAAATATTATTTTCTTTTTCTTTCTTTCTAATTGCATTTCATCATCATAAATTTAACTATAACTATAACTATTGGGTTTTTAGACGACAAATTATTTTTTAACTATTGTATATGGTTTAAATTAATATAAAAAACAAACAAAAGCAATTAAAAATGCCTGAAACGATTGGTGATTATCAATATAGCAAACGAGATTTAATTGGACATGGTGCTTTTGCTATTGTATTTCTTGGTCATTCAAAAAATGTATGTGGTCAAAATAAATATTTTTGTTATTCTTTTATTTATATGTTTTTATTTATTTTTCAAAGAATCCTGAGCAACAAGTAGCTATTAAACAGATAACAAAAAAACAATTAGCAAAATCACAAAGTTTATTAGAAAAAGAAATTAAAATTCTTAAAGTAAAAGAAAAATAAATAAGAAAAATCATTTTTGTTTTAATTGACTTTTATCTTTAGGAATTAACTAAGCTTAAACATGAAAATTTAGTTGCTCTACTTGATTGCAAAGTAAAACTAAATAATATTTGTGTGTTTATTTGTAATATCATTTCTTTTTTACTAATAGGAATCTCAAAATAATGTTTATCTTGTAATGGAGGTTTGTATTTAATATTTTATTTTGCATTTATTTTCTATCAATGAATTTTTTGTTTTTTTTTTTCTATTTAATTTAGTATTGTAATGGTGGTGATTTAGCTGATTATCTTCAATCAAGACAAACACTTAGTGAAGATACAATTGCTATTTTCTTTCGACAAATTGGTAAGAAATTATTAAATTATCTAAGTAATTAAAATTTAATTATTCATTTTAGCTGCTGCTATTCGTGCTTGTCATGAACATAATGTTGTAAGTATTTATTCATTTAGAAAAATCAAAGTATTATATTTCTTCTTCAAGGTACATCGAGATTTAAAACCACAAAATATTCTTTTATTACATCCAGATAAAAATAATCAACGTGTACAAGATATTATATTAAAAATAGCTGATTTTGGTTTTGCTAGATTTTTATCTGATGGTGTTATGGCTGGAACATTATGTGGTTCTCCAATGTATATGGCACCAGAAGTTATTCGATCATTACAATATGATGGCAAAGCTGATTTATGGTCAATTGGTACAATTATGTATCAATGTTTAACAGGCAAAGCACCATTTCAAGCACAGACACCACAAGCACTTAAACAATTTTATGAAAGAAATGTTAATTTAGCACCATCGTAAGTTAATTTTCAATATTTGTCTGTTTTTTTTCTTAATATATTGATCTCTTAATTGTTTTAGAATTCCACCATCTACTTCACGAGATTTAACGGATTTAATTGTAAGAATTTTAAAAAGAAATCCAAAAGAACGTATTGATTATGAAGATTTTTTTAATCATCCGTTTTTAACAAAAAGTATATTAAAAAGAAAAGAAAAGATAAATTTGAATATTCATTTATTTAAATAATTTATTTTAGGTCAACCTGTACCAATATCATCAGGTCGAACACAAACATCAACTATGAGTATTATTAGTTCGTCACCATTACGTGAAGGAATTTTATCTCAAGGACAAGATTTTGTAAGTCTTAAAAGAAATATTTTCTTGAAAAAAAACAACAACAACAATTCTATGATTTATTTTTCTTTAACAAGGACTTAATGATTCCTCGGCAATTTAGCCGTCAGATTGATCCAATTCCGGAATATGAACCAGATGTTGTACCAAATACATTGCCAGCACCAGCACAATCAACAACTAATAAACGTCGTTCACCATCACCAAACTCTGTAAATAATCCAGTTCCAATAATAAATACAAATAAATCAATAGCTAAATATACATCAAATCCATTAACACCAATATCAACAAAAACAGATGATTTTGTACTTATACCTGAACATATTACTATTGAAAAAAGTCTTCCGACAGGTTAAAAACTATTCGAAACTAATTTATTATGATATATATATATATATTCTTTTAGGTGGTCATACATCATTTGCTCAACTTTCAAGAGAAAAACGTCTTATAAAAGAACCACATCGCACATTATCTGAAGGAGTTTTGTAAGTCATTTAATTATGATTTTAAAAAAATATACGAAATAAATATTCTTTTTTTTCTATAAGATGTTCAAAAGAATCATCATCACAACGACCAGATAATCTCGCATTAATGGCTATTGAAAATACAACTACAATGAAAGATATTCGGGCTTCCAATATTACTCAACCGATACCAGTTCCATCACAAATTCATAATTATGAAAAAATGCAAGAATCAAGAGATCGTACAAAAAGTGTTGGTACCGCATCAGCTGGTAGTCCAAATAGTAGTCCATATGATGGTATATCTAATTAAAATTTTCGTAATTAATTTTTTCAAAAATTTTTTTATTTTAATTAGATCGTCGTGCATCATTAGATCGTCTTCGTCAAGCTAGTATTGTTTCATCGAATTCAGATTTAGCTAATTCAATTAGTCCACCTGCTGTACGATTTACTGTTGACACTGCAAATATTTCAGCGAGTCCATTTAGTGTAGTACCATCAACACGTCAAACAAGTAATTTTTATTTGAATATTTAAAATAAAAATAAAAATTTTTTCTAATTTAAGATACAACAACACCATCACCATCACGAACAATTCAACAATCAGCATCAAATTCAAGTCTCGTACAACAACAAAATTCAAAATTAGTTATTGATACATCACCACTTAAATCACGACAAAAATTAACTGATATTGATAGTAAATATTCATTGTTTTTTTCTTTTTTATTATATTCATTGAACTTTGTTTTTCTTAGCTCCACATGATCGATTTTTTGAACAAGAAAATAATGCTGGTTTTTTTACAACAAATATTGATCAACAAACAATAGCAGGACCAGTTCGTCGACGTGTTACTTCTATATTTGGTGATACACAACCTGAAGGTCGTTATTATGAACCACAAAATATTACAGATGATGCATTAATGGATGTATGTACACGTTTTCTTTTTTTTTTGTTTCAAAAAGAAGTATTCTATCTTTTTCTTGTCTTAATTCTTATAGAATGAACACCATGATACATTAAATAAACTTGAATTTATTCTTCAATTAGTTGAATATATATTAAATTTAGCTAGTTCACGTACAAGTTTATTAACAGAATCATTAAGTTTAAATAATAAGAACAGTAATAATAATGTACCACGACCTAAAATGGATCGTCTTAGTCATGTTGATAATTTATATAAACGTGCTGAACAATTAACACTTTATGTTAAAGCAATGCATTTTCTTAGTTCAGCTATGTGTCTTGCTCGGTAAATTAATTTATTGTTTGAAGTTTATTTCTTTTTAAACTTCAATATTTTCTTTATTTTAGTGATACACTCAAGTCTGGAAAATTACATTCAACTGCTAATGTTCGGTAAGGAATTGTTTTAGATATTCATAAAGTAGAAGATAAAGTCTCATTCTGTAAAAATTTTTGGATCTTTAAGTGTACTATTACAATAGATAAGATCATGTTTTTCATTGTTGATTTAATTTTTGTCGTGTCTTAGTGATTTCAAGTACTAAGATATTTTGAATTTTTATTGTAAATTTTAGTATTTATGTTAATATCAATTTGAAAAAAAGAATTTTAAATCAATCTCAATAGCTTTCTATCTTGTCCTCTGTATCTCAGATTTCATAAGTATATAATATGAAATCTAATAAATATTTAACTTTCAGACGAGACCATTTGAATCTTGTTAATCTTTTTTTAAATATGCATAGTACTGATCACTTCTAATCTATACCTTCAAATCATTAACAAACAAAGTCTCTAATAAAAACTCAGCTTAAATGTTCTTTTTTAATAGAAATGCTGTTAGTGATTTAAACAATAAATACAAACATTGTTTGATAATGTGTAAGCAATTAAGTACACAAGAAGAATTATTAACACATGATGAAATGAAAGGTGTTACATTAACAGCCGATAAATTACTTTATTTGCATGCAATTGATCTTTGTTTAAATGCAGCTAGTTTAGAATTTTTTGGTAAAGCTCAAGAAGTAAGAAAATAATTAATTGATTTGTTGTTAATAAAATATCTATTTCTTTTTTGTTTTGTTTTTTTGTAGTGTATTGGACCATATACTCAAGCCCAAGTTTTATTTCATAGCTTAAGTCAACAAGCAACAACTGATTGTGATCGATCAATACTACGACAATATCGCGAAGCAGTCGAACGACGTTTACATTGTCTTCAAAATCAGGGACTTGTTGTGCTCAATGAGCCATCGAGCACTTCTTAATGTTTTATATCAACATTTTTGTGTTTCTGTTTATTCATTGCGTATCTCTAGTCACTTGTTTGTATATTTGTGTGTTTGTAGATCTGTTACTGTTGTATGTTATTTAAAGAAAACATATACACAATGACAAACAACAATGAACGAGAACATATCTATTAAAACAACAGTAGCACAATTAAAAAAAAAAGAGAGAGAGATCGTATAAATAAATATGTGTATGTGTAAAGGTTTAGCCGATTCGAAGAAAATAGAAGTGTATGTTTGTATATTGAAGATAAAATTCTTCTTGTATTTCGTTTCTTTGAATTGAGCTATTCATTTCCTATTCTTCTTTTTTCAATATTTCTCTCGTTCAGATTTATCGATGTATTTCTATTTAGTCTTGTCTGTCCCCTACTGTGATTAGTCGATTTCACTTTTTTTCTTGTACATTTATTCTATATATATATATATATATGTATGTATGTATGTATGTATGTATGTCCGTGGTGTGTATAATGCCTTTCTCTTTTTAATATTCGATTAATGTTGCATGTATTTGTCTTTATTGAACTATTTGCCTCAACTTTTTTTTTTCTTTTCTATTACTTTAACGATTTCAAGCAACAAAGAAACCACTTTAATATATTTGACATGTAACTGTTTTTTTTCTTCTGTAGATGGGATATGGATGATTTGCGAAGAGAACATGTTAGAGCAACGAAAATCATGTCCGTTGGAATATATGGATGGAGAAAACGTTGTTTATATTGTCTTTTAATTTTTTTAACATTCTTTGTTTTTATTAATTTATGTTTAACATTTTGGTTATCAATTGCTTTAGGTCTCCATTGGGTTTGTTTTATCTAATTTTTATTTATCTAATTATTATATTAGTTCTTAAATGAATATTATAGGGAAGTATTGGACCTATTTCAATATTTAAAAATCATGTTATATTTCGATCACCAGTTGTGTTCAAAGATGGACTTGTTGCAAATAAAATTTCTAGTGGTGATCAAGTTAGAATAATATAATAAAAAAAAATTTGATTTAAATATTCGTTTATTATATTGTTTCATTATAGTCATTAAGTATTCAATCGGATAAAAGTGTGCATATTCAAAGTGGATCAGAACATAAACATTCAAGATTAACTATTGGTAATAAATCTGAGTTTTGTTTTTGAAAGAGAATATTTTAAATGAATAAATTCATTTTCTATGATGAAATTTAGATCAAGATGGAATTCATGCTAATTGTGAACAATTTCAAATAAATGATCGAACGGGTTCAAAACTTGTCGCTATTGATTCATCACAAATTCAAGTTTATACTGATGATCTATCAATTATTTCTGGTATAATGAATTAATAAATAAATTTTATATCTAATATTGTATTTTAGAAAAAAAACGATGGGAACTTCCGAATTTAATAACAAATTCAATTTCATCAGATAAAAATTTAAGGTAGACTAGAGTTAAATCAATCGAACTGTTCTAATTTTCTTTTATTTAGTCTATCAGCAGATGAAGGTCGATTAATACTATCATCTAACAGTAATATTGATGTATTCGCGAAACAAACTCTTGACTTTGTTGCCAATGATATTGTTATAAAAGCACATACAGTAAATAGTATACGTTGATAAATATTATTTTATATTTAGTTTAATTAGATTCGTCTTCAAAATGAGCATATTTATTTTGAAAAATTACGATTTTTCGATCGTGCTAAAGCACCAATAGTTGCTCGTAATTCTCAATCCTATTCTGTATGCATTTGCGAAAATGGTCTTGTCTTTGCTGCGATTGATTGTCGTCAACATGCATTTGATTGTCGTGAATGACAAATATATTGCTCTGGTGTTTGTAATCTTCCTTCATTTTTCTATGCATTTATTTAGAAACAAAAAAAACAAATTTTTTCCTGTTCTCTTTTTTTTTCGTTGTTCTTTTAAAGTATTCTCAGGCCGTATTTTAAGATAAAATGTTCGATAATTAGTCATTTTTTTAAAAACACAATTTAATATTTGTGTGATGTTCTGTTTTGTTCTTGATAGTTAATAAAGCTACATGTCGTATCAATGTTTTTAAATGAAAAACAATTCCTAAAAACATCTTAGATAAATGTTTGGAGAATTGATTGAATTGCAAACGCTTGAAGCATCGGATGATCGAATATGGTGTGTAGCTTGGAATCCAACAGGCACATTGTATGGTTCAATTTGTCTGTTACACAAACAATAATTTTAATTATTTTTTAGACTTGCTTCATGTGGTTCAGACAAAATTATCAAAGTTTGGGGACGTGAAGGTGATTATAGATGCAGCTCATCTCGTGCTTTGATTGATTCGAAAAAATAGTTATGATTATAGAAAAAAAAAACCGATGATCTCTTTTATTAAATAGATAAATTTAGCATATATAATTGGTTGTTTTTATGTTCAGGAGAACGAAATTGGGTATGCAAAAGTACAATGACTGATAGTCATACGCGATCAATTCGTTCTGTAGCTTGGTCATATTGTGGTAATCGTCTTGCATCAGCTGGTTTCGATGCTAAAGTATCAATATGGGAAAGACAAGGTCAAAAATTTGTCTTACAAACAACATTAGAAGGTCATGAGAATGAAGTTAAAGATGTTGCTTTTTCACGTAGTGGACTTTATTTGGCTACTTGTGGTCGAGATAAAAGTGTTTGGATTTGGGAATGTAAGTTGATGCTTTTTTTATTTAATCATATTATTCGATCGATGTGTGTCTATGCTCCGAAAAATAGATGTTCATTACTTCACAAGAGAAAATCTACATAAAAAGCTACCTTCAGCATGAAATAATTTTCTTTTTTTCGTACAGATAATGAAGAAGAAAATGATTTCGCTTGTGCTGCTGTTTTAACAACACATACACAAGATGTTAAACATCTAAAGTGGCATCCACAAAAAGATGTAAGAAATTATTTTTAATTTTTATTAATAATATAAACTATTTATTCAGTTAGATTTTAGCTTCATGTAGTTATGATGATACAATTAAAATATTTATTGAAGATAGTGATGATTGGTCTTGTGCATGTAGTTTAGGTATATGTTATCGAATAAAATAATATCTTAAATCTAAATTCTTTTTCTTTTTCCTACACAATAAGAATCACATACATCAACAGTTTGGTCATGTGATTTTGATGCTACGGGAAAACGACTTGTTTCATGTAGTGATGATAGAACACTTAAGATATGGCAAGCTTATGAAAAAAATAATCAAGAAGGTAGAAAGAATAATAATAATAGTTTGAACTTGTTTAAATTTAAATCCTACTTAAGGTATTCGTTCAACAAATGGTATTTATCCAGTATGGAAATGTGTATGTACAATTAGTGGCTATCATACACAACCTATTTATGACGTTAAATGGTAATATTTTCATTTTGTTTTTTAAATTTAAAAAAATTGTTACTATGTTATGTGAAGGTGTCCTCTCACTGGTTTGATTGCTACAGCATGTGGTGATAATACTATACGTATTTTTCGTGAAGAAGAATCACAACGAAAAGATGCTCCACCAAGTTTTTCATTGATTGCTTCGAATACGCATGCTCATTTACAAGATGTTAATCGACTATCATTTAATCCAAAAGAAGCTGGTCTATTAGCATCATGTTCTGATGATGGCACGGTTAAATTATGGCGAATTGAACAGAAATTTATGTGATTGGTTTCTTTTTCTAAATTTCTTTATGTTTAGCTAATTTGTTTTTTGTTTTTAAATAAAATTAAAAAAAAAATGTCATAAATAAGATCGAATCATATCTTCATCTATCGTTTAAAAATAAATATAGAATAAAATGAGAAATTTCTAGTTCATGTCAATAAGCAATGAATCATTTTTGAATTCGACATTTAATGGCGTATTTGTACGCTAAAAATAATCAATTGGTATATATATATATTTACTGTGAAACAAAAACAATATTTTATCTACTTTTATTGGTATTTCACATAGTCGATCTGCTTTTAATGAAATTTCAGATGAACGAGTGCTCAATCGACTTTTTATTTCGGTGAGTAAATCCGATGCTGTATCAGTGAACGTACTTCAAATACAAAAAAAAAAGATAAATTTATATTGAAAGAAATTTTTTTAATATTTACTTCGATTGTCTTGTTTGACTTATATTAACAAGTGGAATTTGTGGAGAACCAATAGTATTGAGATCTTGTCGAATAAGCTGATTATTATTAACATGTTTTTTTGAATTTAATGGGCGTGGACGTATAGGAGATCGAAAAGAATGTGGTGTTGGTACTTCATAAATATTATATGTATGAGAAGATCGATTAGCTGTTCGATATCGATAAAAGTTTGGCAATGGTTGTTTTTTTTCACTAATAAAAAAAATTAATTCTTATAATTACTATAAAAATGTTTCATTTACTTTCGAGATTTGTTATTTTTTCTACAATAACTATGAAAATAACAAATAAAAATGATGATTAACAATAAACTTAATAAAATAGCAAGTCCAATAAGAAACCAATACAAATAAGCAAATGGAACAAGCTGTATGAGTTTATATAATTTATTACTTGATTGTATTGTTGCTAATGAAACTAATTTAATAGGATGTGCTGTAGTCACTATTGTGGACAATGACAATCGAGAACTATCTTGATGATGATAAATTTCAGGTTTACCACCATAGAGATCATAATAAGTAAAAAAGCCAATGGTCGCCATTAACATATGTTAGATACTTATCAAATGCACGTATATTTTTCTTTTCTTCACAATCGAACAGATTGTTTCGCATAAATACCCTGGACAAATATACTGAAAAATCTTTTCTTTTCTTTATATGCATTTCTTGTTTTATTTGGTAGTCGATATCACAAACATACTGAAGAGGGTGTTTTGTTTTTGTTGTTGATTTTGTTAGAACAATCAATAATGAACAATAAATTACCGAGTTGATATTCAATAATAAGATTACAAACAAAAAAGTTGACATCGTTTACGTGCCTTGCAGTACAATTTTATTCGAAGACAACACGAAGATAATGAGCGGTAGTATTTTGTGAATTGTCTAATAATTTATTTTATGAGAGTTGTGATTAAATGTTTACAGAAAATATGATTACCATCAATTTATAATTACAAAATTCTTTCGGTTTTTAGAAAATTTGATTAATTTATGCACATCAACTAGTCAGAATTGTTTGGGCTAGAAAAATATGTTCATCTATCTGAAAATATTTCTGTATAAACGTACAATATTGTGGAGAAAAATGTGTCATAATAAGAATGACTTGAAAAGACAAGGAACCGATTACTCTGATGTATTGAAAATTTACACTATTTCAAACACGAAAGAATTAATGCATTCATTGGGATGTTATAGGAGAAGTGTTCTTGGCAGAGAATGTGATATTGACATTTGGACAACGTTGGATTGCGCTAGTGATGAGCTCAAAAATGCTGCTGGTGTAGGTGCGAGGTCTTATCGAGAGATTTGTGACAATGACAACTTTCCTATCCATATTACATAATCATGTACTAGGATAACAATGGTTGCATAGTTTCTTTTCTTACATTTTTTCTTTTTCTTTTATAAGAGAACGACAAAAATTGGTAATAATTTGCTGTAAACTCTCAAACAAGTCTTCGAAGGAATATTGTTGAAGTATATTAATCGAAGTTCGATACATTTTCTTCACTTTTCGAAGATGGTAATATTTCTAATTTATTTCAACATTTAGTAAACGATGCTGACTTCCCCTGTATGTTGGTGATGAAGCTAGATTTCGATTGGCTGTCTCGAACCATGAAAATTTTGATCTCATATCTTTGAGTCCACAAGACTTGAGCAACCAAGTATCTAGCTGGATCAGTGTAGCACGAAGGTAAAATTTTTCAACAGTACGATAAGTAAGTAAAAGACGACAATCATAATTATAATGCAAGTATAATTCGCCGTTTTCGATATTTATGACTCTTGTTTAAGAGTATCGCGACAAAAAATACAATTTTAAACTTCTTTTTCAGTATGAGCTTCTCCTCTATAGATCGAGAATTTAATACTCACATCAATGATGTAAGCAAAACGATGTGTTGTCTATATAGAAAGATCTCATACGTATAAGCGTTAACTATCTTTTAACGTCATAATACAATAATCATCACATTAGCAATAATAATAGTAACAAAAGTCGTAATGCTAATAGCTCATGTATATAAAAATGAGCAAAATATACTAACTTTTGTATTTTAAAAAGTAATAAAAAACTGGAGAAAACCGAGCGATCCGATACCGGTTTCAAATCTGATCATTATCACTAGATGTAATTTTCATCATTGCTTAAAATTCAATGGCAAATGGAGCGAAAAGGGTTCATATTCAACGTTACGAACATCAAATCTTAATCAACTCATGACCTCACAGCATAAACAATGCTTTCCGTCAAATAATGATCATACAAATGAAAATACTCAGCAAGCATACGAGGTGATCAAAAAGTCTTACCCTCCACAAAATTGATTACTTATCATAAACCAAATGTTTTCACAAAGGTTGATTGACACTATGTTAGACAATACTAAAGCCAAATGTTCTAAATTTCTTATTTTGAGTCTGAGAATAAGAACAAACACTTTCACAATAATAAAATCAAACATATACCTTACAGGATCTTCTACAGCTAACACAACAATCAGTGAAATTGAAGAATTCTATAATACCAATTCAATCTTTTACTGCGAAAGAAACGACAGCTATTTCTTGAACTTACCTGAAACTGAATCAGCATAAACTGTCATTTTCCACTTCTAATTCCTACGCAAGCACCTAAGTATCTCCCACTATAATGATGTTCGAACTTAAATTCAAATTAAATGAAAAAATTCAAAACTTCTATTATAAAAGAGTACATTTAGCTGCCCAATTCACTTTGTCATATAATATTTTTTCTTCTATGATACTATATTGAAACCTTAAATGTTATATATTATATATGTTGATGATTATAATTTAATGCGGAAAACGCGTGACTTCGTACTTCGGAGTATAGGTGGAGTACAAGTGGAATATAGCTAGACTCTAACCGTATTCCATCTGTACTTCACTGTACTCCGAAGTTTGGAGTCTCGCTTTTCCTCCTTGTGTCAAACTGTCTTGGCATCCAGAAGCTACTAAAATATGCATTCTTATTTCATACGCACCACCACATGGACTGAATCCGAATGGTGATCGATATCCGTAAGGATGTCTTAAAGGTTAAGATCCAATCAAGATTGTGCGTGAAATGACCGAGAACTACATTTCACTATGTGTAGTTGGTGTTGAACCTTCCATCACTAAAGTCTTTCGAACTTTAATTGTGTAGCATTTTTATTTTATTTCTATTTCGTTCTAGTTCCTTATCGTGACTTTCTGATGACTTTGGCGTACATGACCGGTGGATAATATAATATGTTCCAATGATTAATGCTAAGCTATTAGCTCAAGTAATCATTAGTGGTGTACTCGAAGAACTATCTTTGGATCGTCTCATCAAAAATATTCAAGAGGATATTGTTCGTGAAATATGACAAGCAGCTGCTGACGAACTAGATGATGACGCGACAGTCATGTGAATTAATAGCCTTCATACCTCCAAGGATATACGTGCTCATTTTATGAGTAAGACAGCAGGAGTGACATCGACAGCAGCTGAGGACATTTACTCAAAATGGCAGAATATGAAAGAAATGAAAGCAAAACATAAAAATATACTAATGGAAGATTCATCATTCGTTGATGGTTACTATATTCATGATGTTGATGATTTAAGCACGGCATCGTTAAGGAACTATGATCTTTACTTTTGTATCATTTCTTTCAACAGATCAAAATAAATATACAAACTTACTAGAGTATCGATAAACAATCCAAAACTCTCATGACAGTCTAATATGAAGTGAAAAATCATGAAGCCTTAGTAGAGTAGATTAATTATCATTCTGTCTATTTTCCTCAAAATGGAAGGATTTTTTAAGGTCAATATTAACTTGTATCCCATTATTTGCTCGATGTTTGATCGAAATGTACATAAATCAATGATGACTGTTCTCTACAAATATTTAGATGACCTGCATATTCACTGGCGAATCAGCATTCATCGATGGCTAAGAGGTCCGAATAGATGAAGTTTCATCTGATCATAAGAGAGCTTTTTGGATGTGGGTACGGTTAAGGAAGTGACCCAGATTCACACTCACACATCCAAATCTCAGTCATTCTCACAAAAATTTTCAAGAGAAAACTAATATTTGCATATAAAAACCTCATCAAAATCCTTCTACGATGTATCGGAATCTATCTGTTTCGAATTCACCATCATCATTTTTTAGGATTTATAGTTACTCAAAAATATAAGAAATCAAGCAGGCATCGATCCTATCAAATTCTAAAAGTCTACTTCAAACTTTATTTTTATCATTTTTTGACCATCTTAATTGTATGTAGATACTCATTGAAATTATTCAAAATTTTATTATGCCACAAAAAAAACAACTTTTATTTCGATTAGAAAAAACAAATAAAAAATAACAAAACACTGTTTGAAAATTATATTAATCATCAACGGAATCATTTGTAATCGATATTGGTGTAAGTCGAATAATAGAATCGAGTGCATCTCCTAGACTTTCCATAGATTTTTCTAATCAGACAGAGTTAAATATATAATTAAAAGAAAACAATAAGTTTTACCTAATTTCCTTTGGTTTTTTTTAATTTTTTTAAATTCTTGCTGTCGAGTTAGATTAGATCTATGAATTGATCGTCGAATTTCATCATCATGTAGTTTATCAGCTGAATCAATTGCTTGCTTTTTCAATAAACGTTTTGTTTTATCCACAGCTTGAACTGTAAAATGAGCCTTTATAAAAAAAAAATTCAGAAAAAAATATTCATCAATAAACTTTCTATTTGAATACTTGATCCAAAGTTTTTGTTGTCGATTGATGATCTTCATCATCTTCATCCATAGCTTCTATAATACTATTTTCATTTTCCGATAGATTTTCTTCTTCATTCATTTCAAGATCAGTTTGTGCTCGAGCTAATTCTGGAAGAGTTATTTCAGTAAATGAACTATTTTCTAAATCTTTCAATTGTTCATGTTCGCTATTCAATAAAGCATCAATATCAAATGCTTCTTTCATTTGTGTAACAAGTTCAGTACTAATTATTTCATTTGTTCGTTCAGGTGGTTCAGTGAAATACGTTAATTTACCATTAGTCCAATCAGAAAGTATTCGTTGTGCAGCTTTATGAATATCTGGTAGACCACCTTTTCTTAAACTACCCATTTTAACAGCCATTTTAGACAAGAATTCATTAGCATCTTGAAAATCACTTAGATTATATTGAAGTAGCATCTAAAATCACTATAGATATCTTGCTTTCATTAAAAATGGAAAGATGCATACTGTAACTCAAGAGCACTGAACATATTCCGGTCAAATTGTACAGATCTTCCCGATAGATGAATAAATTTACAGTTTATGTAAATCTAACCACAATTCAAAATTTCAACAGGATTTATTTTTTTCTTTTCGTCATGGTTCGATAGAACTCTTATAGTATTGCATAAGAAAAAGCATGTTTCACACACAGAAAAAAAAACCTTTATAAAATTCAAAGTTTAGGACCTATTGCCTCATATATTGTATGTAACTCGACGAGTTTTTGTAAAACCGTGGTGGAAAGTGAAAGCTAAATTCTGCTGAAATTCTTAATAGTTGACATATTACATACACTGTCAATACTTGAAAATTCGAATATCTCAGTTCGTTTGCTTAGAAATGAGGCCTTTAATTTAACATGAATATGTTCACTGTTTGGCAGTTACAATACACGCTCATCTATGGTATGAAAAACTGAACATTTTACTTGTTCTTTTGTGCATCGGTGAAGTAATAATTCAATAGCTGGTAATGTATTCTCAATAGTCTCAATCTAGATTAAATGAATAGAAAAAGAACATGTCCATTTTTCTATTCTATCACTTACTCGAATACAATTACGAAGAATAAGACTAGCTGGATTTGTTTCTTTTGACATAACAATACCTGGACTATCAAATAATTTAATTAATTTATCTAATTTAACTGTTTGCATTTGTCTATAATAAAAGAAGTAGAAAAATAAATTATTTAATAAGAAGATATTCTTTACTTTGTTACTCCAGGCATTGAACCTGTTTGACATACTTGAGTTCGTTTAAGACTATTAATAACACTACTTTTTCCAACATTAGGAAATCCTTAAAGAAAAAAGAAGAAATTTGGTTTGTTTTTATTTATCAAAAATAAAAATTCTTACCAACAATTCCAACAGTAATACTTGTTTTAATATCATTTTTTCGACAATAATTCGAAAGAAGATTCATTAATGTTGATGCACCAATGCATTTATTTGATGATTTTAGTAAATGTTCGTCACAAGCTTGAATTGATGTTGTAACATGACCCTAGATAAACGATATTATATATATATACAATTGATAAGGAAAAATCAATATGTACTAATCGATCACGTTGATTTTGAGTTGATGAACGAAAAGCAATAGTTGGAAATTCATTACGTAGATATTTTAACCATTTATCAAGATTATCACGTGGAATTAGATCTAATTTAATCATGAGAAAATAAAAATCTCAATAATTAAATAAATAAAAACGACGAAAGTGTCATACCTATTTTATTCAGTAATAAAATAAGTTTTTTATTTTTTCCTGAAGTTAAAACAATTTCTTCAACTTGTGAACAACGACATCCAAGTGGATCACGAGCATCAAGTACTTCAATAATTATATCAGATGCATCAATAACCTTTAAAATAGAAAATATTAAAATTGATTATTTTTTATTTTTATTTTAAATTTATACTTTTTTAAATTCTCGATAAAATGTTTTTCGTGATTTTTCTTGTCCATCACCCATATCAGATACGAATTGATCTTTTTCATTCTAAATTGAATATTTAAAGACTAATAATAACAACAACAACAACAACAACAAAAAGGAAATCAGTGTGAATTATACTAATGAAATTTGTTCATGTTCAAATTCATTTTGTCGTCGTTCAATATCAAACATCATTGATTCCAAAGATTTCGGTCGTTCTTGTTCGAACTAAAAATAAATTAAATCAGATTTCATTGAAATCATTTTAAAAAATCGAAACCTGTTTTTTTGTTTCTTCAGTTATTTGTATTGAATCTTTTTTGAACGAAGTTAATTTTGAAATTTTAATATCTTTCGATTTCTTCTCTAAGTACTCATATAAAAAATACACGAAAATGGTTTGATTTTATTGAAGACTTACTTTTGTTATCTGAATGTTTTTTTGCTTCTTTACTCATTTTTCTTTTCGTTTTATGAATAGAGATTTTCGTGGAATGTCACAAAGTTGTTTTATCGTTGTATCAGAACAATACAATAGAAATCTATGAGTAAAGAGTAGATGAGCCAACTTTTCTTAACTATCATTTTCTTGATATAAATATAAAAACAAGTTTCTTTTGTTTAATCGCATCAAATTTGAGAAGATATACTAATAATTTCGCAAGAATATTGTACGAAATCATCTATTCAATTGATTAGAGTAAAATAAGACCAATTATATTGATTAAGTGTTACAAGAATATAATTTCTAGTGACCTCTAGTATTTTCGGCAGATAAATCCACTTGATTTATCAAAATACAAAGCTTGAGATTCGAATTAGTTAGTACAAAAATCTTTAGCATAAAGAATATTGTCAATCATACATATTAATTCTATCAAATGACTAATAATCTATAGGCTAACTGTAATAAAACATCATGAAAACTTTTTTTCTGTAGTCCTATCCGTTTTTCATATAGCAATAGAATAAAGCTACACATATTCAAGCTTTTCAATTCCAAATTTTTTTTTCTTGACTAGCATATGTATTTCTCCATGTGCTACTTATTAATAAGAATGTCTTTCTGTTGTTTTTTTCTTGAAACTTATTCATGAATCTAGAAAGTAGTGCACTTTTATCCATTATATAACATATGCAGAATTAATTCGTCACTATGTAATAGTGAAAAGACTTGATTGTGATAGAACTGGAGCAAAAACACGTGTAGACCTCAACCAGAGGCGCAGAATCTACCCGTGTGCGCGTACGGCCGTGTGGGGAAAATTTTCGATTCATAGGAGAATTTTGGGGAAATAGCTGGGGGAAAACACCATCGTGCGGGGAAATTTTTTAAAATTACGGCAGATTCTGCACCTCTGACCTCAACAGATATTCTCTGGTAACAGCTTGATTCATTTTGAAATTAAATATTTCACTTCAATACATTTAATAGAGTTAGATCTACCTTGGATTGCTTGAATGATTGTCGAAAATTTACAAGGACAAATTACTATTTATCGATTTGAATTATTACCGACATATTTTCTGGAAAAGTATGTCAAATACACGTTTATTTTTCTTTTTTTAATCAGAAAAAAAAAGTATAAATCAAACAATTATTGTTATATTTATTTCTTTTTTCTTTCTTATCAAGAATCTGTATAATTCTCAACATTCATATCTTTTAATCCTAATGATTCATTTTGTTCATCTGTACGCTCATAATGTTCAACAATTAATTGTGGATCAGGTTCAGGTGCACAAATATTTTGTAAATAACAATTTCCAGCTGGATCATCTAAAACAATGGTAACAAATTTTTCTCCAGTAATTACTGCTGAAATATCATTTATAAATAATGTCATTTTATTCTCATCATTATTTGGATCATGACTATCTCCACCACTAAATGGCATAATAACACTTGTTAATTGAGATTTTAATGTTGTCAGAATTCCTTCAACTGTTGTAAATTTTCCACCAATTGATCTTGATGATGATATTTCAAAATCTAGATCAGGTATGGATAATGATGATGTTTCAGAAACTAATATATCTCGATTTAAATCCATTGAATCATTCATAATTAAATGATATCGAATACCTTGAGGTGCAATACCTGTACCAGATTTAACTTCATTTGATTTATGTCCACAAACATCACATGATGTTGCCATAACAATAATTTCTTTAAAATATGGTATTTCTGTTACTTTCATATTTGTATCACATGGTGAATCACAAGAAGGACAATTTGTTTTAAAAATAAGTACTTCATCTTTAACATCATCAGATTTTTCTAATGTTGATTCATTTTCTGTTGTTTCTTCAGTGATACCTAAAAGTGTATCTTGTTCTGATGTTCGTCGATACTTTTTTATTTTCATTTCTTCATCACGATATGGTGCGTTGGGATTTTCAATAAAACTATTACCACTTGGATCGTCAAGTTCAAAATGAAATGTTTCTGATAAAGTTTTCAATGATTCAACACGATTAATAAATTCATATAACTTTTGTTTTTGTTGTTCAAATTGTGAAATATTTTGTTCATCATTATCATTTGTAGGATTTTCTATTGGATTTTTACGAATTTCATCAATTGTTTCTTCAATTTGTTTAATTGTTTTATTTATATTTTCAATTATTGAATCAAAAACTCCTAAATAGAAAAAATATAATATTTTGATTTCATGTCATTAATTATTTTATAAACCTTCAATCGTTGTTATTAGACCATTTGCACCATATGGTGCTTGTTCAAAATCTAATTCTTTGATTCGAATTATTCCATAAGATGATCTAACAACTTGTCGATTAAAATCTTTAGTATTAATAACATGAACATTAATTAATACTCCGTAAGGTTCGAGACGTTGTGCTGGTTGTATATCATTATTTTTAAAATGACATGTATCACATTCAAATGAACTAAGTATAACCTCTTTATAATATGGAATAAGTGTTAATAATAGACGTGTATGTCCTTTTTCATAACAATTCATACACAGTGATTCCATTTCGGTCAATTGATTTTCAGCATCATCAGCAGACAATGCAGAAAATATTGGATGAGTCTCACTGGTAGCCATGTTTATTAAATTCTTATTGATCTAGAACATTTATGAAAAACTTTTATAGAACAATAAATTATGATGTAATATTTCAACACATGACTGTATTCTTGTGAAATTAAAACATGAAGATGCTTCCAAGTTGTTGTATACATTATTGACTTAGGTTTTTTTGCAATATTCAAAAAAAATGCGCAAAAGTAAAAAAATATTTCGAAAACCATGAATAAATAAATCATTATATGACAAGCCAATCATATTAGTATGTTGACAGAGCGAAAAAAGTATAGGGTGTTAATCGAATCAATATCAAATACACTATTTGCGACGATTTCTGAAAACAATTAGATGGACCGAATTTTTGATTTATATCGGTCGATAGAGGAAATTTTTCCCCATCCAACTGTGGTTTTAGTTTTTTCTAGAAAATTGACTAAACCCAAGAAATAATCGATACAAACTGACTAATCAAAACATAGATCATCTAAAGTGTTTTTTTTTCGGCAAAAGAAATGGGCCGAGTTTTTGACTTATACTGGTCGATAGAGATGGTTCTTCTCTATCAGACTGTGGTTTTAGTTTTTTTTCCAGAAAATTGTCTATACTCGAGAAATAATCGAAACAAACTGACCAATCAAACCACATAAACGCTTCTCATTTGATATTGAATCGATGATTCATCTCTATTTGTCAACATACTATATCTATTGATTAGCATTGAGAAAAAGTGCCCTCTGAGTCAAAATATCTTCCATCAAATATTTTTTATTTGTATATTAGTTTGTGGACATACATACATGAGTCATCCAATCAATGTACAAATCGATATTCATGAATGCACTTTGTGATAAGACTCACTTTTCTGAGCTGAAATTTTCTACAAAATTAGTGCTTCCTAAGTACGTATCGACTGCAACAAAATAACTTTCTGACCCATCAAATCTAAAAAGTTAATGCAGCGACATGTATTGAAGTGTGATACTATTAGCGAAACAATCTCATGTTTTATGCCAAAGAAAACAAACGGGCTATGTGGCCATTGGCCACAACAGAAAGAAAAGATAGAAGAAAAAGTGATCGTGAATTTTCAGAAGAGTATTCATATATACTCTATTTGTAGTAAACAGCCTCTTTTACACATTACTTTCATTTTATTAATTTTACAGAGAAATGCCTAAGAAAACACGAAAATGCGTAGTGAATAAAAAGGTTGAGGCTATTTCGAAAAAAGTTATATTGTAATGCACTCATTTGAAATAGTTATCACTTAGTTGTTTTCGGTTCAACTGCACATTAGCTACACTCTCTACACTAATTTGTGTAAGCAACAATGCACATCAAAGTCATGTATGTGGTCAGAAGTAACCCAAAATCAAGTAGACAGGTTTTCCAGGTGCAAAAGAGAGACTTCAAAACAGATGCCCGTCATCATGGTTCTCATCCAATTTAAGCAGTCGTGACGAGCTCTTGTTCTTAACCTATATTCTTGTCGGAGTATGCGCGCATAATATTTTAATAAAGCCATAATGTGTGGTAGCCGAGATTCAGGTGGATGGAGACTTTTGTCGACTACTGTAACTGACTCTAATAAGACAAGATTATAAATATAAGTATTGATTTGCTGTGATAAAACTTTTGATCTTGATGTTTCTTAAGAGACAACGATCTACGAATAGGTGTACGTCTTAGAATAACACATAAAACAAAAAATAAATCGATGCACAATCAGTACGAGAAAAACAAAAACACAGAGTGACATACCACGTAGAATGCAAGATATTATGATAAGAAATAAATTAACGACAGAACAAAGAAAGATACGATTTTATAAAAAAAATAAAGAAATGCAGCATTAGAATGTCTATCAAAATTCAACTTAACATGGATCACTACTGAATCTGATAAATCATAAGTTGATATTCACTTTAAGGGTATTCTCCCTCCTCTTTCCTGTATTTCTTAAAAACAACTTAACGAAAAATCCTAAATCTAAAATTTTCAGGATAGATAGATCTCGACTAGTAGAGCAAAAGTTGCCATAGATTCAGAATTCCCGAATGCTTCTTCTATGAGATATAGGAGATGTAAGGGGTAAAAATGACCTGAAATCCTCTCCGCCGCACACAATCATAATTCGTTTTTTTTATAGCTGAGTTTCTTTTGTAATAACAAAGACTAAATTGGGTGTATTTATTTATTTTTTCTTTGAATAATATTGTTTTCTTCATTTCGGAAAACTAAAATATTGGAAGCTCTGTGAAAAAAAAAGACGTAGTGTTTTTGCTTAGGGCAAATTTTGTAAGATCTGCAAAAAAAACACCATCAGAGCATTATTTTAATGAAAAAGAAAATATATAGACCCTGGTTTGATCCTAATTGTCACACAATAAAGTTCAGCTCAATCGATCGAAGCGTCTGGACGAAAAAGGGGAAAAACGCGAAAATAATGTACAGTTCTCAATAATTTGATTTATTCTAGAGTTTTTTCATGTTTAAAGACGATTTTTCGATGCCAAAATGCACTCCGTATATAGATAATGCTCCAGACTATGCAATGGCCATAAAAAAAATTTTTGGGTCGTAAAAGGAGATAGATGTTTTTAAGGTCTGACTAAATATATCTACATGTGAGACAAATTGTTTCAAATAGTTAAGACTTCCTATAAGATTCTTGCCAATCAGAACGATTCATGATAAAAGAGAGAGAATTGCTAAAGCAATAGATAAGTACCCAAGAACTTAACAAGTCTGTTCAGATATTTTGTCTGATTTGTACAACAGAGATCATCGAGTGACTGTTCATTAGTATAACTAAGTAAAAAAGGATAAAATGAATGTTGAGGAAAACATTGCACAAAGTGTAAGTGATGCGGTTGCCCGCACAAAATTACAAATCTTCTATTTACTGTTTTATTTTCTAGAACATGTATTGATACATATGTTCGTCAATCTCTTTACACTCTTCTTCAAACTGGTATTGTTCGATAAATAATGTAGTGTTTCATTCAATTATTTGTCTTCACAACTCTTTCATTCTTACTAAATAGCTTAAAATATTCTTCTTTTTTTCTTATTTTTGTAGATCTAAGTATAATGTATACAACTGACGAAAAACCACCTGTCTTACCGGAAATCGAGTTGAAATCTTTTCCATCTCATCCTACAACAGTAACAACAACATCATCCAAGGTAAGAAGCCGCAGCATTGTTTTTTAAGACGTGAGAAAATTTTTCTATTTTCCATTGCATGATATTTGTCTGTTTTTCAGATATTACTATGGAGAGCAAGCTAAGAATGCGTTGTTTGATGTTGATTATTTTGAGATTGTATCAGAGCACACCGTTATTAGAACAAATAATATTTTGGCAAAAGGCAGCATATATTTAAGACAAATCTTTACATGAAAAATTAGCCAGTGAAAAACTAAAATACTCGATGAACCATTCTTATATACAATTTCCATAGGAAGATATTATTTTTACAAGAGATAAGTTGTCCATATCCAAACGAGAATCCAACTTATATGTGGTACAGCAAAGTAGTCAATGAAAAACTGAACAACATGGTCTATGAAACATAGTTACATATTTTATTATTAAGGAGCAACGGCTTATTTTCAAACATCCCCTATCTATTGACTGTGCTTGAGGATTCTATTTTCTTCCGAAAGCAAGATAGGATCCAACTAGTCATTAGCATAGAAAATCTGCTCACAACTAGCTCTACGTAGTATTCGATAACTAAGGAGCGAAGGACGATGTTAGTAAACAGTCGTACAACTGAAAGCAAGAGTAAAACATCGTTTAACAAAACAAATAGTAATCCAAATAAAGTCAGTGAATAATGAAAAACAACCAGCTGCGCGTAGTGCATATAACGGCTGATCGGAAAGTTTTTGCATAAGATGTTTGTTCACTTTTAACTCACTAGAAAGTATTCTCAGTGATTGAAAAGCTATGAGTTAGGAACAAAATTTTGTACTCTTTGTGAATATGGACATAGGAATTTTGTGTTAGTTTCTGTTCGAGAGTGGTGAGATAATCTTTGAAAGACCCGAAAAATTGGTTTGGACGGATCCTGTGGACCGAAGTCTCTGATCAAAATGTTTATTTCTTTTGACTAGCTTGAAAGTATTTTAAGATGAGTCAAAACTAGGGATCAGATCCAAAATTTTGCGCACTTTCTGAATATGGACCTACAAATGTTGTATCTGGTTTTGTTCGAGACTAGTGAGGGAATCTTTGAAAGGCTTAAACAATTAGTTGGGACTGCGAACAAACAGGTTTTGCTAACCCATACAAGTCCCTTTGGAAAGATACTAAAAATTCTCGGATTCGGTAGTTTTATAGAGCAAACAATTCTTTACAAAATGTGATATTGAATTAAGGTGTAGTTTTTATCCAAGAAAAACTATGCGCATTCTCCCAAGAGCCCGTTTCACGTCAAACGATTTTTGTCAAAAAAACTATTTTTCAAAAATGACGATTTAGGAAAAACGGAAATTCAGAAGCCTTGTCCAAGGACATAAAAAACTCAAGTAGCACATTTTGTAGGACAGGTTTTTCTCTGCAAGCTGGTATAATAATAAAGGTTTCGACTTTTAGTTTCGGATCACGACAGCAAAAGAGACAAAAATGTGCGGAAAAAATTTCCGTCCAATCTAATTTTTTGGGTCTTTCAAAGATTATTTCGCTACTCTCGAACAGAAATTGACACAAAATTCCTAAGCCCGTATTCGGAAAGACTACAAAATTCTGGTCCTAACTCATAGCTTTGCGCTCACTGAGAATACTTTCTAGTGAGTCAAAAGTGAACAAACATCTTGTGAAAAAACTTTCCGTTCAATCGTTAGTTGTATCGTTTTAGTCTAAGTGTAGTCGTTCATCATTACAGTCATGAAGAGGTGGAGAACTCTCTAAAGCCTCTTGTTGTTGTTTTTTTTGTCTAAAAATTCTGAAACAAAGATTTTTCTATGCAGGTTATGATGCTGATTCGACATATGTTGTTGATTTTGAAAAAAACACTTGAAATTTGATTGTGAAAGCTGAAAAATGTGAGTGCATTTCTTTGATTTTTTCGTATTCGAATAATAATGGATTAAGCCACTAATGTGTAGAGTTTGTTTATTTAGAATATTGTAGAGCTTTTCCAGTGCTATTTTTCTATGCTGATGACTAGTTGGATCTTTTCTTGCTTACAAGAGAAAATGAGAAAATATGATCCTCAAACATGATCACTAGATACGGAATACTTGAAAATAAACCTTTTTTTTTCTTATCAGTATGGTACGCAACTATGATTCATATATAATTTTGTTCAGTTTTTCACTGACTATTTTTTCATACCAAGATTTGTCTTCAACTTGTTCTGATTTCTGCAAAAATAAGGTATGAGAAAAAAGTTCTCAGCAATTTTCCAAGCGATATATCTTTGAAGCCGCTTAAGTAATTTCAACAAATAAATAGTCATTCTAAAGCAGTGGCGGATTTAGGGCAGCGGGTGCGATCGCTTCGTCGCAGCCCCCTTCGAGAAAATTTTTTCAATTTTTCCCAGCAAAGACGAACGAAAAACAAGTTCATACCACCTCAAATGCACCTGAAAATGTGTTTTTTGCCTATGATCTCACCCCACCCCCTTCCACAATTCTGGATTCGCCACTGTTCTAAAGAGTATTTAAAAGTATTCTTAATGTGCAAAAATAGAGATTTTAGCATAAGAAATAAGAGAGATATAAATGTGAGAATATCATTAAAATGTTTTGCAGAAACTTTTTTTTTATACATATAAAACTACGAAACAAAGAAAAAATGAAAAGTCTGAACATTAGTGAACTCTATGTGACGAACCTGATGAGAGAAGTACCCGTGAGATAGTGATACTCGCTTTATTTGGCATCTTCACACAACAAATCGTCCTGTTCACACCCAGAACATACGTTAATATACAAGACGAAAGAAATCTGTTTCATACTCTCATTATTCAATATTAAAGAATTGATTTTTGAGAACCAGAAACACATGTAACAAACTACCCTTATTGACTCTCTCTTATTTCTTCAGCTAGAACCTTTATTTTTACACAATAAGTACACGTTTAAATGCTCTTTAAAATGACTATTTATTTGTTGAAATGTCTCAAGTAGTTGCAAAGATATATCGATAGGAAAATTGCTGAGAACTTTTTTCCCATACTTTATTATTTGTTCTAACAACGACATCCTCTGATGGAACCACAAAATAATCAACGTTGAAAATGTATTTTTAGCTTGTTTTCCATAAAAAGAACTGAAAATGCGTAAAAATGTGTTTTCTACAAAAGACAAGTCAAATTTAAGCGAAAAACAGGGGGGGGGGGGCAATTTCTGACCAAATTGGCCAACTCGTTTCCGAAAGAAATATATTTTGTAATAAAACCAAAACCAAAAACAAGCTTCTTCGACTGACTGCTAACCATATTCGTTGTCAAGTTTTGTTCACCGTTTATGTGAGAGTATAACATACTTGAGTAATAGAAGTTTCAGAATGGTAGACAATTAGCTGCGATGGTTGTTAGGAAAAACTATGCACAAACCAGGCCAGTCCTTTGTCTAAAACAAGAGACATGTGAAGTAAATAAAGTATTGTGCTGATGTGAACCAAGAGTAAGCAGTCACCCAAATTTCAGTTTGATAATCAGAGTTTTAGGTATTTTATTTTTATTTTTTTCAGCATCAATTTCGGTACTTTAACATTGATAAAATTTCTATCGTCTTATTAGAATCTTCATCGTTTCAAGAAGCTATTAATCTCATCGAAGATTTCATCGAAAACGATCAGTTGATAGTTTATTATGCACATATGTGTATCAAAGAATTACGATGTGAAAATATTTTCGATAAAAAGACATCAATGAAATATGTAACAGAAATAAGAAAGTTCTTAATAGATTTGGTATCACAGCTGAATTTTTCGTTAAAAGAATTAGAAGACGAATATTCAATATTTGACGGAAACAAAAATTTACCAAATCCATCGCAAGATAGTATTTATTATGCTAGCTCATTGATCCAAGGGATCAAACAAATGGAAAGTTCAACAGTTGAATATGGAACATTAACACTTCACAAATGCACATTTTTTCTATTTATCAAAACGTTACACGAATTAGCACATGCGTGCTTATTCGAAGCTGGTCGACGATTCATGATCAATGAAAAGGATGAAGCAATAAAATTTAACACACCAGCCACTCATGCTTTAACTGCAGAAAGTGGAAATGCAATTGAACGTTATCTTTGTGGTTCAGTTGTTGACGCGACTGGTTATATGATAACAGAAAATAATAAGGATATTTATTTTGTCAGTGAAATCTATTTATTGGAAACTAAACCATCACGTGTTATTAGGAAAGAATCTATCAATTTATTCTTCAAATCGGATATAAGAACAATGAAACGAATACCTGAATTAGCTGGTACTATTATTACATGTCAAAGTTTGAAGAAGCTTTCAGCGAAAAAAAGAAAAGGCAACTTTGCAAAATTATCTAATCAAAACAGTGATGAATCAGAAACAAGTGACGAAGATATTCGTTTGAGTGTACATCAAACAGATCTTGATTTTATATGTAAAGCTTAAGAGTAATTATCTGAAACAGTCAGACATCGACGATGGAGTAATGTCTTAGAGTTTCCTGATTTTTTTATATGCTGTAAGTGGTAATGAGTTTATAGTGATCTTTGAAATTTTCAGCTGGATCTGATCATTTTTTCCAATATCATTATTTAAGATATTAATGAAATTTTTAATAATAAGTATTTTCTGATTTTTTTTAATCCTTTCTTGTAAATTTTCTTCGAAAACATGACTTTTGTCTTTTGAAACGAGAGAACTTTGACTTTATGTTCTTTTAATCATAGTGATTAGTGATTTCTACTAATACGTATGAAATTTCAGAAATTTTCTTTCATTAAGCATAAAATATATTGAAATCCGAAACCAAGCCCTATTTTTCTCTTTTTGATGTTTTTTTTAGCAAAATGTCGATCAAGTGCATTTTATTCGACAACAATGGAATCCATTAATATTTTCACCAGATAAAGAGCTCCAAAACTTCTATTGTCTCATATATTTAGCAATTTTATATCATGAGAAAATCAATTGTTATCAAAATTGTCTTTTCCTTATAATTCATAAGACATGTTGGAAGACGCCTGCATCTTCCAACATGTCTTATGAATTTTGAAAATTTACAAGAAACGATTAAAAAGATCAGAAAATACTTGTTATTAAAAATTTCATTAATATTTTAAATAATGATATTGGAAAAGTAATTAGATTCAGCTGAAAATTTCAGAGATCACTAAACTCATCACCATTTACAGCATATAAAAAAATCAAGAAATGCTGAGATATTACTCCGTCATCGATCCACCAAAATTACTGTTTTCTCAAACGTTTACTGTTAAGCGTGTTTCTTTTTGTTTTTGTCTATATAGGTTTGGTTTACTATTATTTACTCTCTTGTTACTCTTGTCCTGTTTTTAGTGTCATATTTCATTTGTTGGAAAAAAGATTATTAATTATACGAATTCAGTTTTGATTATCGCACAAATACGATGTTAACATTATTTTTCAATTACTTTTGATGCATTGCTATCGAAAATACATGTTGTATAAAGTTTAGCATCTATTTTTGTACATGTTAAGACTGAAATAAGACAATTGAATGAATTCATTGCTAATGATCGTATTAAATTCATATTAATTTCTTTTTTAACTGTCATGACATTTTTTTAATAACATTTCCATCGATTTAATTATCTTACCATCAATAAATTGTACTCGTGCACGTGCTATAACATTTTTTTTTAATTCTTTACCATCCATCGTCGAATCCATATTTTAATAGCTGTTATTGGTATTTCAATATTTAATATTTTTCTTACTTGTTCTTGGTTTTACACTGGTTCAAAAAATATTTTTGTTATTGAAGAGTTTCATCCAAAAACATCATCTTTATTTAATATTATTTATATATAACCAATAAAACAATATTTACATATTTTATTAATTAAAATCGATGTTATCGTTGATAATATTAAATCAATTTTAATATCAAGTTGTTGAATAACAAAAAAATGATATATATTTTTTCATAAAATTAAATTACTGTTATCTTTTTAACTGGTATTAACATTTTTAATATAAATTTGTCTAATGCGTTTAAACAATGTTCAACACGAAATAATGTATTGTATCCAAATAATATTGAATAGATATACTCAAGTAAATTCATTTGTTTATTATGATCATTTAATTTAATTATAAAACGATTTATTGATCAAAGAATTTCATCTTCAAAGAAATGATTTTGTTCACGACATAATATCCATATTAATAATTCAAATAATGTAAATGATGAGGGTGTGGGTGTAGATATGTGGATACGGGTATAGCTGGTATATGTTTACACCAGAGGTGCAGAATCTACCCGCATGCGCGCACGGCGTGTGGGGGGAAATTGTTCGACTTCTAGGAGAATTTTGGTAAAATAGCTGGGGGAAGTGCGGGAAAATTTTTAAAAATCACGGCAGATTCTGCACCTCTGTCAAAGAGTGTGGGTGCCGTGGTGTAGCTAATCTGCAGTTGTACCGTTGTTTTTCAACAGATGATTGCTCATGTGTGTAAGGAAAGTAGAGTCCTGGAAGGATGAATTTTTCTCATATTTTCTTGTCTCGTTTCCCTCTGGAATGCAAATTCTCATGGAGATTTCGGGAACGGTAAACCAAAAAATATCCATTCCTGGAAATCTGCTTGTCCAATTTCCATGTGCGCGAAGTTGTGTTCGTATAACAGACTTTTATTTTCAATAACTATTTTCGTATATAAAAAAACAAACAGGAAGTATTATCTATCAACAAAATTATGAAGATTCATTCATTTTTCACTACATCTTACATAATGAGAACGATCGACTTCTTTATAATCATCATCGAAAGTAGATTATCAAGGTTATCTTACAAAGCATTAAAATCATCTTTTTCTGAAATTTTTGCTTTTCTCATTGGTGTCATCAATGTGCAAGTATTTATTCTTCTTCTTAATTACTCAGTTGATGGTGGAAATAATTCTCTTGAGGTTGATAAATTTCAAATTCTAAATAATAGCTGATTTATTTTACTTCTATGCAAACGCGCATGACAACTTTTTTCACAACTACTGTTCGAAAAAAGGTGTTTTTAAAATGTTAATTGCCAAAGTATACGGCACTCGTTGACCTATTGCATACAGTATACAGTTAACTATTTATTATTTTTTTCAGTATATAGAAACACTTACATCTTTTCCCATTTCTATCTGATCTTCAGCGTATCTTGTGAATACGGTCTTTATTTCTTTTATCATCGTGTAGCTTATTGATAGTATTAGCACACATCCACACCCTCACAGAATATGAATCTAAACATTGCAGATTGATTGTATCGACAATAGATTAATTCAATTTCGATGCAGCTTACTGTAACCTATGTCACATTCTGAAAAAAATAATGCTGTGAGAAGCTAATATCAGACAGCAATAGTTTTTTAAAATGTAAAAAAATAAAATACAACTACGGATTCTGAACGCCTTACGGGAACGGGAACAAACATTTCTTTCAGGGGAACGGGACCGGAAACAAACATTTTTCTTACGAAAACGGAGGAGGGATTCAAAATATTTTTTCCCGCAGGACTCTACCACTGATATCGACACCTCAGAAAATAAAATTAACTAGAACTAAAAGTCGGCGTGTCATGACACAGGAATGTACCGCCAGTTTTGAGGATGTATTATTAATATACATTGAATAGCATTTTTTCAATCGTCGTAAACTAGATTAGGTTCTCATTTTCCTATAAGATTTGTATTTAAATAATCTTTCCAAATAGCAATATTTTCAAACATTTTTTCAGTTCGAGTCAATATTAATCAACCACAAACAGTAATACAGTACGAATTAGCACATAATGGATATTCAGTACCTATTTAAATATTTCCATTTTTTTTAAGCCAAAAAATATATACATCAAAAACCAGTTGAGGTGAATAATCGATTTGAATTGATCCATCTTGAGAAAATTTCAAATTTTTAGTAAATTTTTATATTATTTGCAAGTGTTTGTTTTGAACAAATAAAACCATAAATTTATGAAAAAATTTATTTGAAGTTGGTTAAGCGCAAGTTGAACTTTAATATAAAACTTATTTTATACATGCAATCGCTTTTTGAATGATTGAATGTTTCATCATTGTCTTTACCTGTTAAAGCTGATTCGTCAACTAAAATTTTGTCAAGTAATAAATAATTTAATTTGTTTAATAACTGTATCTAATACATCATTATGTTTAGCAGTATTTCATCCTCGTATCATAGTTTGAATTTGTTCAATTGATCTATTACTGTATACTTGATCACATTCACTATCATTACTTGCAATTAACAAAATGTTTGAAATACTCACTAATCCGATAATCTTGAGATTGTGTGCGTGCATCGAACAGTCTTGTTAGTCTAGATTTTTCAGTTTCTTGAACTTTGACACAGGTATATAAGTTGAAATAATTATGTATAATTAAAAGTTTTTGTTCGACATTGGTTTCACTGGAATATTTATCCTAACGAAACTTAATTGTAAAAAAGAAGAATCTCTAATGTGTCATCACTTGAAAAAACAGCAGGTTTTAGTTATATCTTTAAATAAATCTTTATATCGATATAGTGCTTCTGTCGTGTCGGTTTCACCATGAATTGATTCTATATAAGGCGCCGAAATTTCGAAAATTAAGTAACATTTCTTTTGTTGATTTTTAGCATTGGTAAGAATGAGATCGTCGATTTATCACTAAGAATGTCATGTATTTTATCATTTCGACACTATTTTAATGTTAAAAATAAATTCGAGAAACTTTAGCTGAAAAATATGTCTAAGATGCATAGATTTATTTAGGAAATAACCGATATATTGACTTATTTTTCACGTTTGTTGTTCATTAACTTTTGAAAGGATTGTATTATCATTTCTACAGTTAAATTAGATATAAAAGAAATTAAAGAAGAAAAAGTCGATTGCAATCAAGGCAATCATTAACAACTGGGAAGTTTTCTAAACAGATCTGTCGATAAAATAAATGATTTATATTAGTGCAAACACTATTTTCAGGTACCATGCCTTCATTATGCCGAGACAATGTAAATTTGATAAACTCTATTGAACAATAAAAAATAAAGTGCAGAAAGTGTAAAACTGAAATAGTTTTTATTTTTAATTAAATTTATAGAGTTTCATAAACCTTGACCAGCTGATTGTAACTATATAGTTTTTATTTTAATGAGATCATTGTTCGAGCTAAAAAAATACCTTTATAAATGTCCAAGTATAAATAAGGTTGGAAAGTAATAGCTAATTTTTCAGCCATATTTTTGCATGCAAAGTTTTTAATATTGATTCTTTTCAGTAGAAAATGTTTATAAAGTTCTAACGGAAATTTCTCTTTTGAATGCTATTGTATACCTCATTTCTACTCAGATTATTCCTTCTATATCGGTTTCATTATAAGAAGAAAAAACAAGAATCGTACACACATCGGATGTAAGAATATGTCAATGTATAGGTCATCTTCTAAATAAATATACGCATTTTAGACGTTCTTTTCAATTTAAGTATCTCAGCTTTTTTACACTAAAACTTTGTCAAAAAGATTTCAAAACGACATGTATAATGATAGTCCGATGATCTTTATCGTCCTAAGCCAAAAAATCAACAAAACAAAAGTTGCGTCAGAATTTAGAGTCTACGACACCTTATTAGGAATTTATCCCAACGAGACAATCACTAAATTGAGTTTAAAAACATTAAATTCAATTCAGTCTATGTGTAAAATGCAGACGGATACAGTCTACTGAATCATTGTAATTTAATAAATTACTTTATTCATGAAAATAAAAATGAAACACTTTCTAAATTGTTCACTTGTTATCTTTTGTAAAATGTCTTTAGATAAAGTTGATCATCTAGTGTGAATTGATTGACTATGAGTAAAAAATTGCAGCCAAGTTAAGAACAATCTGTTGGATAAATGAATCACTGACTTGACGTTCTTATGATTTTCCTTTAAATGTATTATTATGATGTTCAACTGGCGTTCATTTTCCAGCTCCATCAATATGTGCCATGGCTGTATCTTGCATCTGAGATGATAGTGGTAAAGATACCTTCAAACCATTCGTACGCTCACTGAATAAATGATCAATATTAATATTAGCCAACATACATAAGATATACGTCTTTTCAACATTGTGACGGCTCACTACATTAACCGCAAAGCGAGAGATTTGATTACCATCTGCTTTTATTTTATTATCGTAAACATTTTTGCCTAGTGGAAATGTAACAGGGTCTGCTTTAAAACTTCTAACAATATCTGTAAGCCAAGAAAGATCAATAACAAGATTATATGTACTATGAATATTTGATAGCATATCTTTATAAAATCCCAAATATTCTATACGTAAGTAAGATGAAAAACAATATTTTAGTGATTATATATACAGCCGTTTTTTATTCATTGAATAGGCTATTTGTTTTCAAGTTTGTCAATGTTATGTTTAAGATTGCGTCAACGATAAGTTTAATCGCACGTTCAATTAAACCACATAAGCTTAAAACGCAGATTTTATTTCTTACTATTTGTTTTTGTTATTTTGTAACTCTATGAATCATTGTAACGGTTTACTTACTTGAATGTATAAACTGTGATTCTGTTTCTTACGTTTTACGTTAAAGTAATAATAATTTGCGCGACACTGTTGGCATCACTAATCATTCGAACAGCTCGAACTCATTTAATAACTGTTTTTCATAAATAAACTATTTTGCACTCGAATAATATTTTTTAAGATCCAAAAAAAAGATAAATGAGTCGATTCTGATAATGAAATTCAGCGTTTTCCCACAAAACTTTATAAATGTTGAATCCATCATATACTGAGTTGAAGCAGTTTGTTGTTTATAATATTTTGTTCTTACAAATTTCTTAATTTTTGTCACCTGCACAGACCATTGCTCGCCAAAAACGTGACGTTGAATGGTAAAATATATAACAGTTCGTGAAAAAATACTTCTCTACAATCGAATTTATATTACAACAAGACAAGTCAGCTTATCCTATGATAGCTAAAGTTGTAACCTATAGAAGATGCAGATTTTAACGGCCCTTTGAACAAGTCGACTCATCCAGAAGACTGTTAGTCTTCATCTTCCATAGCTTATACCTTCGATTAACACAGAGCAAGCCGACTTATCGTATTGGTATATCAAATCATATGGATTTGAAATATTTTATAACTTGTTTTTTTTTTGTATTAGCAATGGCCTGTTCGAGACGACAAAGTTTGAAAGTACTTAAAAGAAAATATCTTAAGAGATATATTTATTCTAACTTGATAAAACTGGGAATAGCGACATCTGCTTTGTTTCATTAGAAATACATATCTTTTCTAAATCCAAGACCTTTCGCACAGACTTTATCTTTCTGAGATGTGTTACTCCTAGGCAAATCAATCTAATGATGACAACGCTATTCGCATAACCAGACTGGCAGAAAGGGTTCAGCCTTTCTACATACAAATGGTTAAGATTCATTTATAAAAGGGCTTGAATTTCCTCTCAAGGTTGGCTATACAGATTGTCCTCGTTCCTTATACAAATATAGGCAAGAATATGAGCTCCTACAAGTTTTTTCTGCATACATTATTATACGACACTTTTATCTGCTATGATTATTCTTGTTGAATTTTTCATTTTTTCAAAAAACAGTTCGTTTTTCTTAGAAAGCAAATAATATCAGTAGCACAGATAGCGTTGTCCATCAAAATTTAATTGTATACAAGTTTTGAAGCTGAAATGTCTTGTTGCACAAAAATGTGCTAACGTGTGTTATTTAGCGGAAAGAAATCATATTGCATTGAATCAAGTATGTCTTAGTAAATAGCTTGATGGAATGTTTTATTCATTTTTGAATAAAACGATAGAAATAAGTACATGGTAAACTAACTTCATTTTTTATAGTTAATAATAACCGCATAGTACAGAATATGATAGAATCAAAACGAGGTGATCTTTGCTCTTTGCACAATTCAAATAAATATTCAGTAACATAATACTAAACAACAATTTCATGGAGGAACTACCATAAATATTAAGTTTTTCAATCTATAATCACGTAAAATTTAACTAAAATTAAACAAGATTTTTTTATTTTGTCTATTTACAATCGACTGGAACTTGCTACAGTATTTCTTAATCAAATTTCGACTGTATCAAGAAACCAATGACTTTTAACTTCTTTATGACGAAATAGATACCGACAATGTGAGAAGGTTCGTTCTTTTCTTCTCACTAAATTGCGCACACCCCTAGTAAGATAATAGAACATAAACTATTCGTAATATAATATCACTTATTCAAACAATGATAGTCTCATTAGCAAACAAAGAAACGATGATAGTAGTTACAAACTCTTGTAAAACAAAACAACCAATGAAACACGTTTTAAATTATTGACTTTTCACAGCTATCCTATTCCAAATAGAATTGTCTAGTTAATAAATTTAAAAAAAAATCGTGCCACTTTTGCATCTGATTCTTTCCGTTAAAGCTAAAGAAACTACAAGAAAATTATTAATAATTATTTCATATTTAATTGGAAAAATCATAAAATATTCCAACACTGTATATCAAAACTTGAACTTTGTTTTTTTTGATCAACACAATATATGTGGAATAGTGTTTGAATGTGATCATATCGAATTCCCCTGTCACGCAATAATGGTGCTATTAGTATTTTGGCTGCAACGTCTACATAAAATTAAAGTCAGATTAAAGCATAGGCGACTTATTTTTTCGAAAATTGTCCTAAGTAGTCTTGCCTGAAGATTATATCCGAATCAAATTTCGAATTGCTTCATGGCTTTATGCGGTAAACATTTCTTTTCTGACAGAAGGCTACTTTACACAGACTTTTCCTCAAAAACGATTATACCCATCGTGACATTTTACAACTATTGCTATATTACACTCGTGAACTGGATTTATTTTCCACCTCTTCATATTCAACTAACACAGCTTCAACAGTGGCTAAAATGCCGCAATAGATCTCTTGAATTGTTCGTAGGAAAGAACCTGGAATGAGATAAGATACGACCTTGATACATCACATGACACAAAAAAAGTCCACCTAGGCACCTGTTCTCTTTACCATCACTTATCCTTTTAACAGCTGAATGAGAAACACTATTCGAAAGATAACTGAGATTCCTTCTCTTTTCATATCATGCTACGTAAGTCTAATCATTATGTGCTTCTCAAGTGATATAGCAAATTTAAACTTTATCTTTGCAAAGTATCATGACCAGGCAAAACTTATAACACCTATATATATCCATGCAATTGCTTCATTTCTACCATGTCGTATTTCGTCAACAAACAAGAATACCATTATTACAAACAACAGCTATGAAAGTAGTCATCGCTCTTTGTGTCCTCTTTGTTGGTGCTTATTGTGTACCTGTACTCGATGAACAACTCAATGATGATTGGGCTCTATTCAAACGTGTTCATGAAAAACAATACAACTCCGTCGAAGAAGAAGCTAACCGGTATGTTAATCTATATTTCAACTTTGTAATCATTTAGAAAAATTACGATCTTTCTCTCCGTAATATAGTCGAAACATTTGGGAAGCTAACGTTGCTAAAATCCAAAAACACAATCTTGAAGCTGATTTAGGCATGCACACATACACTTTAGGAATGAATCGATTCGGTGATATGGTAAGATATATCTTATTTACACAAGAGGGAAACAGCAGACTTAAAGTACGTCAAAGTACTTTGAAATTGTATGAGAGTACTGTGAAAAGCACTTTAAAATTGCAAAAGTGTAATTTAAAATTACAGAAAAGTACTTTAAAGTAGCTCGAAGTGCGTTTAAGTAGTGTAAATTACCTTCAACTAAAAAGTCTGTCGTGTTTCCCTTGTGTTTACACCATGAAGTATCATACTGTGTATTGTTTGTTTACCTAGACTCATGAAGAATTCAAAAAACAAATGAATGGATTCAAAATGTCAGCTAAAACTGAAACAACTGAATTCGATCGTCATACATTCTTAGCTCCATCAAATGTTGCTATTCCAGATGCTGTTGGTATGTTTTTCTTTCATTGATTTCTTTGAAAATGCATAAACTGTCATCATAAAAATGTTTTGTATAGATTGGCGTAAACAAGGTTATGTAACACCAGTTAAAGATCAAGGACAATGTGGATCATGTTGGGCTTTCTCAGCTACCGGTTCACTTGAAGGTCAACACTTTGCTCAAACAAAAAGTCTTGTTTCACTTTCTGAACAAAACTTGGTTGATTGCTCAGGCAAATTCGGTAATATGGGATGTGATGGTGGTTTAATGGATCAAGCTTTTCAATACATCAAAGCTAACAAAGGTATTGATACCGAAGATAGTTATCCATATGAAGCTCGTGATGGTAAATGCCGATTCAAAAAAGCAGATGTTGGTGCTACTGATACTGTAAGTATTTTATTTTATTTGTCTAACAGTTTTCAATAATCGACAATGAATATTTATCTTTTTGTATAGGGTTTCGTTGATATTAAATCAATGAACGAAACTGATCTTCAAACTGCTATTGCTACTGTTGGTCCAGTTTCAGTTGCTATTGATGCTTCACAAGATTCATTTCAATTCTACAAATCAGGTGTTTACAATGAACCAGATTGTTCATCAACAGAACTTGATCATGGTGTTTTAGCTGTTGGTTATGATACAGCAAGTTCAAAACAATACTATATTGTTAAAAATTCCTGGGGAACATCATGGGGTCAAAAAGGTTACATCTGGATGACTCGCAACAAGAAAAATCAATGTGGTATTGCAACAATGGCCAGCTATCCACTTGTTTAAGTCGATGAAAACATCTAGTGAAACAGAAACTGTACAAAATCTTATATTTAACCATTAACATTTTTTCCTTGTTTTCTAAAAACATATTTAAACAATAAATTAAAATCAAACTTGAAAAAAATATGTTGCATCTAAATTAGAAAGCGTGTAGCGGCAAGGCATATGCCTACGAAGAGGACGTAAATAGTTAATTGGATAGTCTTGATGAGAAACATATTGTCAATGTTGAGAAATTGTGAAGCAAATAGAATTTAGTTGTGTAAAATAGCTGTTTCTTTAATATCGAAGGTAGAGAAAGTTAATATAATGCTCAGTGGAAGAATCAGAGAGAGCAGAGTTCATTGTGTCAAATAGAATTACTTTCCGGAGTAGAGTTCTCTACGTTAGTAGAGTTAACAACATTTTCTTATAGATTTTGGGAAAATGAATACAAATTGTTGAGCTTGTTACGAAATTAAGCTTAATGGTTTATAAAAATAAGCTTATATCGTTCGTATGTAGTTGACTATCTCTTGTTGGATTAGCTCATGTTATTATAACACCTCGAATACGATTATATGTGATACGATTGCCCAACTGGTTGAATTCAACTTTTGAAATATGAAATGATTGAAAGAAGACCATAACTAAATCAGTATAGGAAATGTGGTAACGATTTCTTTGATCATATCACACATTGGATGGAATTTTCATGCAGTCCATATATGGCGCCTTTTGGTACTTGGAACTTTTCATATCGTATAGGTTGTTTATCAAGATTCTAGTAAGTACTATATGAAAACATTAGTTGAAGATTTGACAATTATTGTTTGAGAGAAATCGTTAAGTAAATCAGTGATTGTTCAAACGATTAATTAAGCCTGTTGAAAATATGGTTATTTCGATATGATATGTGGATTGTATTTGTCATCGCATATTCTACTAATAGTGACGCTATATATTTGTTATTTGAGGAAGTGACATTGAAAAGAATAGTTTCTCGAATTTTCATCTAACAGGTGCTAGTATTAGCTTGTTTTAGATTTATTTTAATATTTATTGTTGCTATCATGTTCAAAAAAATCATATGATTTACAGGTGAAAAAAATGAGTAATAGTTAGACTTATTCGATCAAAATGAAAACAGAAACTTGTTTGTTAGATATTTAGATATTATAGGATTTATTTTATTGATGATACCATTTCAATTAAGAATGAAATAAGAACAAAAATTAGCAAACAAATAAGAAAATAAGAACTGTACTATCTGAGCAAATGAATAATAGGCAAACATAACCGAAAAAAAAATAATGAAGTTGAGAATTGATATAAGCTCTATTGATGATTGACAATAATATATACAAATAAGAAGTGAAATCAATTTTGAACTGTTAGTGGTGCAGACTAGAAACAAAAATAATAGATACAAATCAAATTAAAGTATAAAATAAAAATTTTCATTCTTTCATACTGGTAAAATGCCTAGACGATGTCGATTTCGTACCAGAAAGGGATTTTCAAGATAAACATTAACATTACTTTGTGGTTTAAGTCCAATAATATCCTAAATGGGATTTTATAGTATTATATAGTAAAAGAACAAATAATTTACTTCATCAGTGCAATATCGTACTCCAATCATTATTTGACCAAAAACATGACCATGTTTTCTTAGAGCACGTTGAGCTTGAAGACGAGTTGCAAATTTAACATGAAATTTATTCGATGTATCAATGATCTGAATAGATAAATAGTCAATGAAACAGAGACAAACTGTTCATACCACATATTTTTCTATTATGCCAAAACGACTGAATTCGTCGATCAATGTTCGAGCATCGGCATTCGTACGATAGCCAAATACGGTCAACCAAGTCCCATCATTTCCACTTTCATTAGCAAGACTACGCATTAAATAAAAACAAAAATAAAAATAAAATCGGCATAATTTTAATAAAATTTAAGATCTGCGATCGATTTATCGCAGAATAGTAGAAAAATATCATGAGAGCATTTCGAAGAAAAAATAGATCTTTCACATTGACTGCTTCTTCTAAATTTCTAAAGCTCTTACTTTGTTCGTTGAGTTGCCTGAATAAAAGTAAAGTTATCATTTGAAACATTAGCATTATCTATCGATTGGTCAATACCACCAGTTTGTGTCATTAATCCAAAATCATACGAAGAACTAGTATTACCGAAGAGTAAGTTCGATGTTATTCGACGACTGTTTTCCATTTCATCAAATCCACTAATAGTACCAGTACGTTCAATATTTCCTTGCCGAAATAAAATTGATGATTGATGTTCATCAACTACAATAGAAAACATACTATGATTTATTTAAATTGTCTACAAAAAATCATACTCGTTAGATCGTTATTATTATCAACAAGAAAACGAACACGTTTTTGTTGTCCAGGTGATAAAGGACTTGGTGGAGATTTCCTATCAAATAAATAATTGTTTATATTATTTCTTATCTTTTGTTTATGCAAGATAACTTACGGTTCATCAAACGTACGCTTGCTCATCAATGAGACAAACGGTGAAGTCTAGAAAGAAAAACTATTCATGTCTTACATGAAGAGCAAGTCATAATATATTATATACCTTTAAACTATCACGAAAAAACGTTGATGAATGCATCTAAAACGAACAAAAAAATTACTTATATATATGAAATATGGGAAAAAAATTATATTATAATTTTTATTTATAGAATACACACTAGCAAAATGTAAGAATTTTCTTGTTGTTTTTCAATTTAGAGATACCCAGGACGAGGAATCCGAAACTCGGATTTCTATCAGAAGATATAGGAAGTTGTCAGATATCGATTCTGTCGATTTCTGACAGTCGGAAAACGTTGGATACACACGAAATCTCATGCAAATCTGTTGAATTTACAGCTGAATACTAGATCCTATATCACCCCCCTCCCCCCCGCACGCTCCCTTTCTCACATGCTATTGGATCTAAAATAAGAGGTTAAATTTGGTTTATTTTAACTTTTATTAAAAAAAAAATGAATTACAAAAAGATAAAAATAAAAAGGATAAATTACTATAAAATAAAAAGAAATGACAACAATATAAAAATAAAATCATAAAATATAAATAGATTAAATTAAATAAAAATAATTTAAATTAGTTTTTACTCACTGTTGATGGAACCTTACCATAATCCAATCTAAAAGAAAATAAAATAGAATACAATAAACTTCATTGGAACACATCTGTACACTGATTGGTGTAATTTACACCAGTGTATTGTGTGTGTATGAGGGCGCTGTGATTCAAGTGAAGCAGGGACAAATAAAAAAATAATAAATATAAAATAAAATAAAATAAAATAAATTATAATTAAATTAAAATTACATTAAATTAATTAAAATAAAATAAATAAAAATAAATTAAATTAAGATAAATAAAAATTAAATTAAATTAAAATAAACTAAAATATTGAGCAAATTGAAGTATCTCTAGATGCTTTCATACCATCGAATCATGGGCTAAAGTAGGAAGTTTTTCTAAGATAACTGCGGTTACACCATTGTTACTTTTTTCAGACTCATGAAAAACTCTTCATTTCCTTATGTTGTTTGAAAGGAAAAAGTGCTATAATAACTTTTAGCAATCTTGCCGCCAAAGGCGGCTACACTCGTAACGATTACTCGAAAATGAAGCTCTTCAAAAGGAAGACAGCAGTACAACTTGCCATAAAAGCTGAAAAATCACGGATATTTTTGGGGCGAGTATGCTCACTTGGTTAGCTTTTTGCGAAACGAAAAGTTTTAACATCTTTTCAGAATTTTCTAGCAGAAAATTCCAAAAACTTTATGAATTTTGCTGGCTAACAATGAATAATTTTCAATTATTGGAGGGGTGTACACCCCCTACACTCCCCACTTTCACGGATGCTGGGAATACTATAAACTAGCTACATTTTAATTGATTAGTTGAAAGAAATGGAAAAAATTGATAAGAATTCGAGAACTCTTCTCAGTCTCTAGAAATTCTTCTATCTTGAAGGATAAAACTTCTAGTATATGTGCATTACTACCTTGAATGATCTTCAGATTGATATGCATGAAAACGATTTCATTATATAGCAAATCATAAACATTGGTTAAAAGTATTTTCACCAATTGACTATAGTTGATAATGCATGACCTACTTAGGTTATATATTTACACAAAAATCAATAAAATTAAAATCTATAAGTTTTCCAATCAAATTTTAGAACAAGAAAACAAGACAAACTTAGAATATTTTTTTCTGAAAGGATTCTAACACAAAGAATTACTGTATTTAAAATAATTCTATAAAATAGACCACATTTCTTATTTCCAAAATACATAGTAATGTGAGCATTGTCGTCATTTCTTTACTTTCATAATTCTATACTGTTCTCAAATTAACGAAAAAAGTTTCACTTTGATGTCGATAAAAATACTTGTGAATTTATTTCATTGTAGGTTTATTCAATATGAAATATGATAAAATTAAACTATGAAAGTTACTTAAAAGTAGCATAAGAAGAAAAGATAATATATTTTTGAAAACAGTAACGTAATCAATACAATTTTACCCTCGAAAAGTTTAAAAACAAAACTTGCCAATAGCAATCATCACTGAATTTATCATGATAATAAAAAAGAAATATATAATCAAATGATAATGGATAAAGAAGTATAATGTAGTTCATTGAAAACTTCATTTTGGTATTTCACGTGCATCAATTATACTAGATACTGTTATTGTCACATGTTCAATTTCTTGTATTCTGATTTACCAAGAAAAATTCGTAAATCATTTGAAATGTACAAATGAACAATTAGTTGTTGTTTTCGTTTTATTTATTTTATTTGTTCCTTTTTTTCTCCAATAATAAAACTCCTTAGTTTTACATCAGCATTCAGTATCTTTCAAAACTTAATTGAAAAGATATTTTTCAAAATGACCAATAACAGATTTTTATTATTTATTATTTTGCACAATTAACTGTCTCGTTAATATCGCTAGTAGATAAAAAGTATTGTGTCTAGATTCTCAAAACTGTTTGAAAAAAAAATTCTTTAAATTTAAATATATCTGTATTGTCAAAGAAATATGAAAAATGTAAAGCTTAATTTCTTGAACTTTTGATGGATAGCATTTCGTACTTGAAAACTTCAGGAATATCTATACTAGATAAAAAATTTTCAGTAGTGGCTGGATTTCATGAATTTTGAACTCCTGAAATTCTCAAAAGTGTGACTTCATCCACGGAACTCTCGAAAGAGTGTAAGTTTATGTTTCGGTTTCGGTTCTCTTTATATTCACAGCTACATCTATATTTGAATATCTACGAAAAAGATAGAAACGCATATTAATAATCTCACATGGCATTTCTGGTACCTCGAATTTTTGGATTCAAAACACCACTACAGTTGTTTAAAATTTTTGGATAAGAAAAACGTGATGATACAAGTTTTTATTTCAAACGCTAGAGTTGATCTTTTATCTCAATTTTAAGAAAATCTTGAGTTCTTAGGATTACTTCAATTGTTGGAGTTGCTTAAGTTCCGAGATTTCTTTGAGCTTTGTAGTTTTCGTGAGTTAAGTTTCAATTTTGAGAGTTCCATGAGTTCAGAATTCACGGAATTTGGACACGTTTATCTTTTACACAGTTTTCTCTAGAATCGAACATGAAGTCCTTCAATATAAAACTTGAAAGCTAACAATATTATTAGCAGAATCCTAAGCTCTTTTTTTTCTTGAAACATCCATTATAATCTGATATATTATGATATTTTGCAATTAAATGAATTCTATCAAAAAGAAAGAAAATTATGAAAGGACCCTATAAATTTAAAAATTCAGAAAAAAGACAGTTTTATGTATTCTTCTTTTCGACAACAATTCGTTTCGTCTCCTATTCTTCATAAGTCGAACTGTCATCAATTAACAATTGCTATTTGTGATGTTTAATTAAATACAATAACTTAAGCATTTCAGTCTTTTTTTAAATTTTATCTCTCATAATTATTATCCATAACTATAAGAATATACTTTAAAAAAAGTGTTTTTTAATATTTATTAGAATTTGAAACTAGTAAATATTAGACAAAATACTAAGCAGACTTATTTGAATATCATTATTTTTATGTTAGAAATTATTTGTACAGATGTTTTATTCATATTCACGAAATAAATATTCGTCCCAATTTCATACCATATAGTTTATATTAAACAACACAAAAACAACAAAAAAAAGAAACAAAATAGTCGATTAGAAAGAATGGTACATTAAAACATGATAAAAATAATATCGACTTTTTTCTTAATGAAATATAATAATAAACATGGAATAGAAATAAAGAATAAAGAAAAGATCTTGAGATTGCACTGTTATATTGATTATTGACCAATATTTAACAGATCAACATCTTCTACTGGTTTTTGTTGATTAGAAGCACTCTCTTGTTGATCATCATTGAATAGATCATTACCATTTGCTTCATCATTCTCATTATCAATATCATCAGTATCATCACCTTCTAGTCCACGAAGTGTTGGCAATGTAAGATCAACTTCAATTGGAAATATATCAGCTTCTTTCATTACATCGTTACAATCTTTATGATATTTATCCAAAGCAGTAATAAAACGATGCAATTGAAAAACTATATCTTGTACTATTATAAAAATAAAGACAAGAAATAAACATAAAGAAAATATCTTTAATAACAACAACAACAACAAACCATGTTTTTGATCAAGCAATTCTAATTTAACAAGTACATCTGCACGCATTTTAGCAAAACGTTCACGAGCTAATTGGCGACATCGAAGAATTAATCTAGACAAAAGTATCAAGTCCTTATCTTCAATAAGAAAACAATAAATTAAATAAATACCGATATTCATAATTGCCTGTTTCAACACGATAAAGTGGTTCTTGAAGTGCTGCATAGCTACATTCTTCATCGTCCATTTCTTTCACTTTCAAGCAATAAGACTACATACATAATAAAATTCTTCAATATTTCGTTTTCTTTTTGCTCACAAGGAAATCGCTCGAACTTTTCTCAAATTACGACTTCGGTTTATTACTCCGTAGTAATAATCAGGTAGTTAACAAAAACAAACAGATGGTGAGATGCCAGTAAAATTGTTTTTTCGATGGATAAGTCTTATGAGTCTTGAAACATCCTTATAACTCTTATCTATATTGATCATAACTACAAAAGGAAGAGATAACAATGCGAATGGTTTTTAAGGATTTTTCTAATATCCCAGAAATTCGCTTTAGTAGAAAATGTGAAGATTTAACTTGTGAGATGGCCGGAGTGTTTCTACTTTTCGATCGATATAAAATCCTACCAAATATTCAAACTTGGCATCAGCATATTTTTCAATAGTTAATTTTGTATCAGGAATAGCTTTTGTTAAATATGTATTCAAATCGGCAATCATCTGAAATAGAATACATGGTAAAAGAAAACTTAGTTTTGTTTTCTAATACATACTGGTTTAACAGTTCGAAGTAATGTAATAGCATGTCGATCAATTTGTCGATGAGCTTCACCAAATTTCGTAAAAGCTTCTGATGCTTTGAATTGAGGTTCACGTGCACCAATATTAGCAAAGGCATCACCAAAATTACGATGTGTATGAGCTAATTCAAAAATAGCTTTAAGCACAGAACGTGTATGTTCAATTAGACCACGATATAATTCTGATGTACGCTCCAATTCATCTAATTTTTTAATAAGACCATCTAAACAAAAAATGAATAGACTTGTATATATATACAAAGTTTTGATTTTCTTTATTACCATTGCATAGAATAGCACGACTAAGACCAAGTGCATCAGCTGTTGTTGAACTCATGGATTCAACAATACGATGTTTCATTTTTTTAAGAACTAAATAAATGAAAAATATTGATCAATATTTTAATCATATTATTTTTAACAAACCAATATCTAATGTTTTGCCTTCTTTTGGTTGTGCATGTAATTTATTATAATGTATTGTTACTTCCGACTATCAAAACTGAGTAAAATTCAATTGAGAATAAAACAAAATATTTACTTTAGACGCTTGTATTAGTTTAGCTACTTCAACTTTTGTTCGTCCTTTTACTGATTTTCCATTAACTGAAACGATTTCATCGCCTATTCCAGCAAATAATTAAGAATTCTTGACTAGACTAATTAACCATTTTACCTGCAGCTAAAGAACCATCTTTTGATGCAGCTGTATTATCAAATATTTGAACTATATATAAACAAGGACAAAGTGGAGCTCCACCACCAATACTAATTCCAACTAAATTTTGAGTATCTTTTTTCAAAGTACACGTTCCCGATGTTAATGTCATACCACTAGAATATACAGTGAGTTAAATAAATGAAGAAATTCTATTTTATTACAAACATACAGAGTATCTTCTTCTAAATCGCTGTAATCCATCATGTTTTTTATGAAATTTCTAAATATTTAACTGTTCTGAAAGTTGATGGAACAAAACTACATCAAGGAAAAAGTAAATAGTAATCAATATAAAATATACAGCTCTGTATTTACTTTCGTATTGGGTCCAAGAATGACGAAAGATGTCGCGTATTATCGCCCATAGTTCTGCTTTCTGGTCAGAAATAAATAGAAATACGTTGCGATACAGTCTTCATAAGACTTTTGAAAGAACAACTTATTCGATTGTGTATAGTGAGTTGAATTTTTGTCGATTTCGACTTAAGTTAGTTAAAATAAAAAGAAACAGTACTATTGTACATTTAGAATCACTGTACGCTTGATTGTTTTTTTTCACATAACTTTTTGTTTCAAACGATATAAAGATCTTTAGCTTAAAAGAGTAATTTGATAATCAGCTCGATAAATTTAGATTATGACTATTATTTAAATCAGATAATGTTTTTTAGTCTTGAAATTCAAACTACATTTGAATAGAAGTCTCATATACGTATTGATTATTACAAGTTTAATCTACGTTTTCTATTTTGATTCAACTTTTTACCATGTGGCACTCATTCACAATAGTTTATGCTAAGTGAACCACGCGAATAGCTTAAACATGTTCTAATTATGACATCATTATAGTTAAGTTCGGACAAAGTCATTCCTCTATGGAAAAGTAGAATGGGTCAACATAACCTTTTCGTTCTAAGTTACATAAAAATTGAATGGATTATTGATTTGATTCCTTCTTATGTTTTTTCGAAGTTATGCTGTTATTTTATCTGTATCAAGCTGGAAACCTACTTATCGTGGATTATTTTTTGAAAAAATGATTCATATCGGTGGGATAGCATGTGGTTAGACAATTGCAAAGGCAGCTATTTTCAGATTGAAATCAGATTTACAAATTTACAGGTTATTGAAGACTAAATAATATTCGAAAACCGTCACAATCCGATGTTTTATTATTTCAAATAGATCATTTCTATGAATAGGTCACACATGACTCAACAAGGAGTAAAGGGTTAACATAGATCTACAGAGAAATGTTTTCTTAGTTCTTATTATGATACAAATAATATTGAGATTTTCTTCAAGTCTATTAAATCGAGCGTTGATTTAATAAACAACAATTCGGTCGACAGCCGGTGTATAGCCACTTGGATTATAAATACGAATTGAATTAAATCCTTGACATAGATTAAGTGTAATAGGTAATGAAGAAATATTTTGATTGGGCAACATCATTGGAAATGTAACATTAATTGAAGGATGTAAATCATTTACCATTATCTCAGCAGATCTTATACGATCAGTTATATAATAAATAATAACTATTGTTGAACCCCCATGTTGACTAATAATTTGTTTAAAAATAAGTTCATTATTAAAACCAATATTATCAACGTTTTGTGTGCCAGAACAAACTGAGCATGGGTGAATTGTTGTCGAAATAAATGTATTCAATGACGATTCAGCTTCATAACTGATAGCCATAACTATTGATGGTGCTGCTATGGACGAAGGAATGTTTACAATACAAGGTATAAGTGTTTTTAATTCGGCATATGACCGTGTATAACCTATGATGAAATCAAACTAGATGTAGAATAGATATTCTATTAATTTTTGTATTGTTACTTGAAAGAGATTTACTTATTGAAGTGTCCATTTCGTCTATGAATAATGTTCGAACTATTAAGAAGATAATAAATGAATATGATATCGAAATTTTTGTATCACTTACAAGTATCCATTGGTAATTGTAAACGATGAAATATTTTTGAAAAAATTGATTCTTTCATATTATTTTGACATCTTCTAGCACATTCCAGTGCATAACGAAGCATCACTGAAATTATTAACTGTGGTGGTGTAGAATTACTTTTTGTATTACTATCTGATTGAGTTAAAATAATAACTGTATTATTAAAACTGTCAAGTGGAGCAGACAAATCTTCCTGTTAAAGAAACAAAAATTGGAAAGTATGAAATACCGCTTAATATCGTTTTTTTTTACTAATGAACTGCTTGGCGATGGACTTTGAGAGGTAATAAAAGCTTCCATTACAACGATACTCGTTTTTCTTGTTAGTTTCTTATTATTAAGTTCATCTTGAAGCTAAAAAAACAAGAATATTTATGTTTATTTATTGAATATAAGTATAAAGACTAGATTTTGAAGAATCCATCTCTTGTCTGATTCTAAATCGTCCGTTACATATGTCAAATTCATTGGTAAAATAGATAATCGATCTGGTAGATTATACACCAGAGTAAGAACATCACTTTGAACTTTATAAAATAGAAAGAAAAGTTAAATTACACTTTTTTTTTGTTTATTTTTAATAAAATATGCCTTGATATTTTGTTTGATTTCCTTTAGCTGTTGCAAATATTGGTAGAAATGTCAAAAGAAACAATGCTGCAATAATAATTAGAATCAACATTGTGCAACAAATACTCAAGAAAATGATTGGATTTAATCGACGTAATCTATAGAAAAGAATTATTCCAATTATAACATATTGAAATAAAACGGCTTACACTCCACGCTTGATTGGTGTTCCGTCCTCAGTATATTCAGCAGGTAAAACAGGTTTTAATGGCATTGCTTTTAACTCACTAATAAAAAAAAATTCCAAAAATTGTGTATAAATAAATTTTCAAGACGAGAAACCAAAGATTTTCTAACGAGTAAATAGTATAGTAAACTTTTTAATAGTACGTAAGCGATAAAAATCAAACATAAAGTAACACTAAACTAGTGAATACATTGTATGTTATTTTGATTAGATGTCTCCAATTTCTTTTTCCAGTTTTTATAGCACGCAACATATTCATCATAAAAGAAACTTAAGCTCGTCGCCTACGTTCATGCAGAATTATTCATTTCAAATCAATCCCTTGTTTTTTTTCTATTATAACAAATAGAATTTTTATTTTTTGTTTCTAGTATATCGTTTCTAATTACATTACATATGTAATAAAATATAATTTGATAAGAGAACCAACGAAATAATACAAATTATATCTATTTCATTTTTTTCTTATCTGCTGTATAAAATAAAGATATAAAAAAGGAAGCAATAAATTACTGAAGAATAAATTTTCTATATCGTTCAATGTGTATATATTATATTCTATTAAATAAAAAAGCAAGAAAGACGCCTCGAGATTTGACTCATAAAATTCATCATACATCATTATTTCGCAATTCGTCTTTTTTCAAACCAATGTATTTCTTGGTTCATTCGCAAGTCATCCGTAATCTTTTTTTTTAAATAGAACAAATTTTCGTTGTAGTGTTATTTTTATATCATAAGTTTCATTTGTCCAAACTTATATATTAACTGATATTCTTATCGTTACTTTTTAAGATTCTTGTTTTGCTGGACTGTCAGTTGAAGATTTTTTCAAGATATTTTCGTTGATGGCAATCATATAATGTTATTGATATTTTTGTTAATCATCATTGAACTGTTTCATCAATGGAAACGACATCAAGAATTAGCGTTCTTGATTTATTTATGTTTTCTTTTGACTAGATGTTCATTCTGCTTAGCATCTGTTGCTTTTTGCTTACTGAAGATCAGTGATTTACTATACAATTGATTTTGTCGTAGAACTTCTAAAAACTATTCTACTGAAAATTATATTACTTAAAAACAATTTTTGAGGGAACATTTATGCACTGTAAGCGTGATGGTATTTTACTTGAATCTGACGCTCATAAATGTAAAAAAGAAATTTAATATTTTGCTCGTTTTCAATAGACATTAATTATATATTGAGTACTGTTATTCTTCTTTTTTCTTGAAAAAATTTGATTGCATGTTGTTCGTCACTATCTATAACTTTTCTAGTTTTTTTCTTGTATACAATTTAGAAAAGCATATTTGACACATTCTTAAACATTCTAATAGAAAATACATCAATATACTAATTTCCATCATTATTTGTGCATTTCTTTTGGAATTATTTGAAAAACAACAATTTATCGATCATTGTAAATCCTATCCGTTCAAATACTGATCGAAATTCAGTTGAAAACTTCACGATACTGTGCTATACAGTGACATTTTAGATACATATTTTTGTAGCCTATGTGATAATATAATTATCAAACAATCTCTTCTCTGTTTCTTTGTCATTTATCTTTCAATGCCAAACATACTATAGAGTAGTGATATGCAAAGCTACAATCATCAATGAATATTGATGATTAATGTATCGTTACTATTCATATTCTTTTATCCAACTGAAGAGCATCAATAGAACTTGTATAATCCTACACTTTAATTTAAATTCTAACTCAAATTAGAGTGTTTGTGTGAGTGTGTGTAGATGTTGGCGTAGATGTGGAGATGAATGTGGATTTTCTATTCTTCAGCACCCATACTCCCACCCCACACCCAACTTGAATAAATAGAAAGGTGTAGAGTAAGGAGTGTGGATGTTGAAGAATAAAAGATTCGCACCAGCAGTCACATGCACACTTACACACATCGGCATCAACAGTCACACTAAATCCTCAGATTCTACTGAGTCTCGTTAGTGTTTCTAGATTGCTATGAATCAGTACTCATGCCACCTCGTTACATTCGATGTGCGTTTGAATGTCTGTGCCAACACGTGCACCTTACCGAGTGTCTCGGATGTGAAGCGCAGCGAATGTGATGAGACGACATGGATGAAGATTCTTTCATACTATGGCGCAATCTGGTAGATTTTTTTTAGATCTTTGAAGTCTGTTGGAATTTATAGCGCTTAGAATTTAACAAAATCCATCAAAATTCGCTACATACCACTTACTATTCTTTAAATAAAAACTTACGTAAATTGTGTTGAACTTTGATTTGAATTAACATTCCTTATGAATATATCTTTTCATTTATATAATCAATAGGTATGCAGGAGAGTATTGACAAATATAAACTAGTCTAAAGTACATAGGATTACCCAAAAATAGTTTTAGATTCCACTATTTAAATTTCTGAAAAAAAGATTTAAAATTTTTTTATGGAAAATAGTACAAAAGTTAGGCACGAACCTAATTATACTGAAGAAAAAGTTTAACAATGAAGGTGTAATAAATTCTATTACTCATCATTCCTACGAAGTATCTTGAATGTGTTTCAACAAAAAATAGCTTTTGTTGTCTCATGAAAATAAAGAGAGAAAATGAATGGCGACAAAAAAATTCATCATATCCATCACAAGAGAATTCTGCCACTACAAAGTGTATGTATCATAATTCTAGATTATCTTTCAAATTTATATCTTTTCAAAGAACTTTTTCGAATGAAACTCAATACTTAATTGATAAAAACTTTATTAATAGTTGTTAATTATAATTTTATCATCTTAATATAAAGATGTAAATATACACACAAAAAATATTCTATAGCAACAATGGAATTGTTAAAATTTATTTCCTTTATTTCTTCCACTTTCTTCATTTTTATTTTCGCTTTCATTGATTTTTCTTTTGCCATTTAATGAATTATTATCTTCATTTTTAGTTGTCATTCCAATATTAGCATCAGTCTCAGTTAGACAACAAGTAATTTCAACTATAGAAGCAAATGAAGATTGAACCTGAATTCTTGTTTTATTTGATGATGAAAGACGCAATTTATGACATGATGATTTTCACTCACTTCAGTCATTTGTTGTTGATGTTTCGTTCACAAGATTTGTCTGTATAAAAAAAAGGTCTCATTTTAAGATTAAATATAAAAACATTTTATTAAATGAATTATTAAATACATCATACGTTGTTGCCACTTTTGATTGAGTTTGTTTACTTTTTTTTTCGTAAAATGTTGGCAAACTCGAAAATAGTTGAGGATGATGCATAAGAAGAAAGAATTGAAACTATTTAGTATTGAATATCTTTTTATTTATATTATTTTACTGTGATTGATAAATTTCAAATTTGCGATAATGCCGATTATATTTATATCATAACGAAAACAATCAATTTGATTTTGAAAATTCTTTTTTAATAAACTTACGACAAATATTTTCATAAAATATTGTCGTTCATCAATAAATACTCGTCCTGATTAATTAGTTTAATGAATAATCTTGTCTCGATTTATCACGAAAGATTAATGTAATGAATCAACAAGAGAAGAAAGCGATGGAGAAGAATAAAATCAGTGACCCTTTTTTATCAATAACACATGTATTTGAAGTTAAAAAAGACACAATGAATTTCAGTCAACTTAATCATGTTTAACGATTATTGGTAGTGTGTGAATAGATGAATCACTAAAAACAATACAAAATAGTTCACTTAATATAATCATAATAAATTCCTACCAAGTTCGTTCATCAGATAAATCAATTTCGTCATCTAAAACCATGTAATAAACTTAATAAAATATTTATCGTCAAAATTAATTAGACTCTTTCAGTATTTATACTTAAGAGATCAACATGTATTTGTTGAACAACACATACAATGAGGGCAGAGAGTGATTTCAATCTTAAATTAGAGCAAAGAAAAAAAACTCCATTGTAAAATGAGATGGAGGTCCAAGGCATCTTTAGAATTACTGATATAACTATATATATGCAAATGCTCTCATCTTTTTTCGGAGGGGATCTAGGAAGTCTTTAGAATGATCCATATAAGTGTATATGTATGTATACCACTTTTTTTGAAATGCGCGTATGTACATGTATAATTATGTGAATAATTTTAAAGATTCGCTAGTCCCATCATCCCAAAAAAATGGAGTATATAGATATATATTCCTATGAATAACTCCAAAGACATGCTAGACTCCATAGTTCCCTCATCTCCAAAGGAAAGAGTCTACATAGCTACATATGACAATAGATAATACTAAGTTTAGGAAACAGTACGCCTTCAAAATACACAGATGAACAATCTTCATGTGATTGAGTATGATTCATTTAATCGAAATTCACTCTAACATGAGTAAGAGTGTTGTTGACCTATTATTAGTGGTATGCATAGCATGTTTTATTTATATGGAGATCCTCTCCCATTTGTTCTGTTCAGAAAGGGGGTTGATTTTCTGAGACCCCTGA